GGCTAAGGCGAAACCAGGTCTGACTTCTTGAGCCCAACTTGACCATGCAATGGGGAGGCAATTCCTGGAAATATGGAGGGACCAGGGAAGTGAGCCTTGGCAGTGAACTACATGGCTGTAGATTAGCCACTCCACAGAGCAGGCTCCAGCAACCACTGCATAGAAGGAAAATCATGGATCTTGCCATCTCTGCAGGTATTTCTAGGCCGTAAATCAAAATTTAAAGTGGTCCCTTCAAACTTTGAAACAGGAGATCCAGGAGTTTCTATGTGTTCCTTTCATAGCTCCCTAACTGAAAGAGTGACCACACAACCTGAACGTGTCAAGGGTTCACTGGCCAGCTAGCCCCCTTCTGAAAGAGAGGGTCCTGGAAGGGAGGGAAGAGTCAAGACATCTAGTGAAAGCCAGAGGCAATCCTGTCAGTTAGATCAGAATCCAAGGCATATGCTTTTATCTCCACCTCTTCCAAAAGTAAAATTTACAGGATTGTCAATTTCTCCTTTCCACATTATTCCATTTATTCACATTAGCAGCAGCAAATGCAACCAAACACACACCAGATAATTCACACTTCGTCTGTATTTTACTCTCTGTAATAGTCAGTAGTTAGTTTTCTCGGGGTTTCTCAGTCACAATTCCCAACCAGTCACAAAAGTAACTGGTTTCCTACTTTCTTAAAACAGTCATATGATGTTCTACGGTAATCACTTTACATTTGCATTATTTCAGAGTCATGGGCTACTTCTTCATTCACATGCACTGCTTCCCCACCGCCTAGCTGTCTTGAAAATAATACAGGAACAAAAATGTTTTGGGATTCAATATAATTTTCCTTTTCATTTTCTTTTTCCTTCAGTGTCCAAAAGTCCTATCATTTTCTTGCAATGGATTTGAGACTTTTTTTCCCTATGGCATACACACTCACTTCACAAAAAAGCTGAGCTACTTCAAAGTAGCATGTATGAAGTAACTGTAGAACATCTCCACTGAGCTATTGTTAACCATCATGAGTTCCCACTCAACTAGTAGTTAGTGAACTCTTACAGAGCACTATGGCTATATAGAGAAGTGAAAATACACAACCCCTGATTTCCAGGAAATGTCTAATTTACTTGAAGACCCACTCACTTGAGAAAAGGGAAACCACTATGTATACTTTTACATTCACTGCTAAGCTGAGACTCCAGGTGGTGTTCTCTTCTCTAAATTCTCACCTTCCTAAAACACAGTGGCACTTATTGAGTGCCTTTTATATGACAGGCATTGGGCTAGGAGCTTCTGGGTGGCTTTTTGAATCCCCAAATAACCCCACGAAATATGAAAGATTTTTGGAAAGACTATTAGCAGAGAAAGTAACCTAAGAAACCATTTCACTTTGGGAGGTTGAAGTGGGAGGACCGCTTGAGCCCAAGAGTTTGAGACCAGCCTCGCCAACAGACACATCTCTCCAAAAAAATTTAAAAAATTAGCCAGGTGTTGTGGCATGTACCTGTAGTCCTAGCTACTTGGGAGGGTGAGGTGGGAGAATTACTTGAGCCCAGGAGTTCAAGGCTGCAGTGAGCTATGACTATGCCACTGTACTCCAGTCTGGGCAACAGAGGAATACCCTGTCTCAAAAAAATAATAAAAAAATTCATTTCCCATTGATCTCCTCAACCCTAGATTCTAGGTTTTCCTTAATTAAGAAAACTGCCATAATCTTTTGAAGCTCAGTTTTTGTGAGGCAATTGGGTATTATTAATACGTATACTAGGCTCACATAAGAAATTCATTATTAAACTAGGGGCTGCAAAATATTCTATCAAGTATCTATCAACCAATAGATCCATTTTAGAGGCGTATTTTCAGTATCTTATCCAAGGAAAATCTGCTGTGAGGAGACTAATTTCAAGATCATTTTTACTAAATAAACTAAATAAACCTGGACTAATGTGGTCTTTACACATTTAGACTGACCTCTGCTGGACAGTCTAATAACCTGTCTGAATTTTTTTTTTTCTCTGAGAGAATATGATTAGGAAAGGGGCATTTTCCCCGAATTTTATCTAGTATTTAGTAACCGATTTACAAGTTCAATTTATAAATATTAATCAAGCCTTCTACACCACCTAATGGCAAAATCTTATATTGCATTTGGCTGCCAGCGGTGTGTCCAGAGGCAGAGTGGGAGGAGGCTGGTGAGGTTACAGGAGCTATCCAGTCCGAATGCTCCTCTTCATAGTGTCTTCCTCCTGTGCAGGACATAAGAATACCTGCAAAATGGGGCTGCTTCTATGAGTCCGTCAGGGGCCCAATCACAGTATCTTCTGGGTTCACCCCTAAAACTGAAGTCTACCACTTCACGGTGGTCACTTGTGCCTAAACTAACCAGTGTAGACAAGTCTGATCTGGGTGGTGCAAACAAGCTGAATTTTGATATAAAGTCTTATGCTTCAATGTACGTAAAACTGCAGATAAAAAATATGAATGACCCTGAAAATAAGTGATGTTTTTCAATTTCAAATATTCTTTTAAAATAATGCCTGCTTCTGATAATAAAAATTACATATTTATAAAATTATATAAAGGAAAAAATTAAAGAAATAGAAACTGCCTACAATTCCATCTACCAAGTTGTATTACAGTTTTAGTTAATTTTGTGCCCATCTCTGTTCTGTAAGCAAGCATGTATGCATGAGTATGCATATTTCCTTACTTCACTCCATTTCATTTTGTAGCTTGCTGCTCTTTTCACATGTTGTATTGTGATTATTTCTCAATCAATAAATAACACAATTTTTATTTTATGATGATAGATCATCATTTATGTAACCAATGTCCTCCTATTAAACGTTGGGGTTGTTCCTAAATAAAACTATGTAAAATGGCCTTTCATATAAATATTTGACCAAATATTTTATTATTTCTTTAGGATATATTCCCTAAATAAGATCACTGGGGCCTGGCACGGTGGCTCATGACTGTACTCCCAGCACCCTGGGAGGCAGGGGCAAGAGGATAGCGTAAGCCCACGAGTTTGAGACCAACCTAGGCAACATATTGAGACCCTGTCTCTACAAAAACAGAATAAAAAAATTAGTCGCGCATGGTGGCATGCACTTGTAGTGCCAGTTACTTGGGAGACTGAGGTGGGAGGATCACTTGAGCCCAAGGAGGTCAAAGATGCAGTGAGCCGTGATCACGTCATTGCACTCTAGCCTGAGCAACAGAGCAATACCCTGTCTTGAGAAAAAAAAAAAAAAAACTTCATGGGGTCAAAACTTACAGGGTATGAACATTTTTAAGATTCCAAATACAAGCAATGCTAGAATTACTCTGTGGAAATGTACCAACTTCAACTTCCATCAGCAGCGTAGGGAGTCTCATTTTCACTTCCACTTCACCACAATTCAGATTAATTTAGAAAGTTCTTTGCCAGGTGGATAGGCCGGGGGAAAAAAGGGATTTTCAATATAACTTACATATTCATATTTATTTATATTCATACTTTCATTGAGCATTTATATTTTTTCTATGAATTGTACATTCATGCCCTCTGCCCATTTTTCTACTGGCACCTTAATATTTTTCTTATATATAAGAGTTCTTTTTATTTTATTTATTTATTTATTTTTTGAGAGGGAGTCACACTAAGTCTGTTGCCCAGGCTCAAGAGCAGTGGCGGGATCTTGGTTCATTGCAGCCTCTGCCTCCCGGGTTCAAGTGATTCTCGAGCCTCAGCTCCCTGAGTAGCTGGGATTACGGGAGTGTGCCACCACGCCGGGCTAATTTTATTTTTAGTAGAGATGGGGTTTCACCATGTTGGCCAGGCTAGTCTTGAACTCCTGATCTCAAGTGATCCACCCGCCTTGGCCTCCCAAAGTGCTAGGATTACAGGTGTGAGCCACTGCCTCCGGTCTGAGTTCTTTATATATTGTTAACTTCATTGGTCTAAATGTGGTATGCTTGAACTTAGGTCGCTAGTCCAAATATATCCTGAAATTATTAGTTTGGGTGTGGTGTGACTTTGCCTTTGGCTCAATAAATTCTTTCCAGAAAAAAAAAAAAAAAACCACCAAATTCATAAAATATAGGACAAGCCCCACTAAACACTGGGGACACTTAGGTACTGAGTAGTCAAAAAATAAAATAGGAAGCAGAAAGAGCCTATGTATCTCAACTAATTGAACATGTCTCTACATTAGATAATTCTTACAGCTTTTTTCTTCAATTCTTAAAAGATAGGTAACTGCCTTAGTCTGTTTAGTGTTGCTATAAAGGAATATTTACTACAGCTAAGTAACTTGTTTTACAAAGCGGTCTATTTAGCTCACAGTTCTGATAGCTGGAAGGTTCAAGACTGGGCATCTGGTGAGGGCTCAGGTTGCCTCCATTCATGGCAGAAGTGAAGGGGAGCCAGTGTGTGCAGAGTCCACATGAGGAGAGAGGAAGCAGGAGAGAGGTGGGGAAGGTGATAGGTTCCCTGCAGGGAAGGTGCTGGGTTCCTTTTTTTTTTTTTGAGACAGAGTTTCGCTCTTGTTGCCCAGGCTGGAGTGCAGTGGTACAATCTCAGCTCACCGCAACCTCCACCTCTTGGGTTCAAGCGATTCTCCTGCCTCAGCCTCCTGAGTAGCTGGGACTACAGGCATGCACCACCATGCCCAACTAATTTTGTATTTTTAGTAGAGATGGGGTTTCTCCATGTTGGTCAGGCTGGTCTCGAACTCCCGACCTCAGGTGATCTGCCCGCCTCAACTTCCCAAAATTCTGGTATTATAGGCATGAGTCACTGTGCCTGGCTGCTAGGTTCCTTTTAACAACCAGCTCTAGTGGTAACTAATAGAGGGAGAGCTCATTACCCTGAGAACTCACCAAACCTTTCATGTGGGATCCATCCCCATGACCCAAACACCTCCCATTAGGCCCTACCTCCACCACTGGAGATCAAATTTCTACATGAGGTTCTGGGGAACAAACATGCACACTATGGCAGTAAAAGAATATTGATATGTAAATCAACATTTAGGCAGTTACAACGCTATTATTTAATAAAAGCTCTCCATTCATCTGTAAGTAGTTTTGTGGCAGAATAACTTTTTCTGTTACTTTTTCTAACTTTTTCTGTTTTTAATCAATTCCTTTACTGTAAAATGTCATTTTAAAATGTTTATTTTATTTTGCACAATTTTAACAGTAGAGTAATTTTGCTGTGGAAAATAAAATTTCATCTTGCAAGAAAGAGAAAACTCAAGACCACCAACTGGCATCTTTATTTACATATTAGAGCGGGTCAGCCAATGAAAATCCTAGAAAAAGAAGACAACAAACATTCAGTAAAAAGAAATGATTGTCTCAAATTATATCCTCATTGTTTCACTTGTTCTAAAACCTAAAAGTCCTACACAATGGTGGCAAAATGAGGTTTGTCTTTGTTCTGGTGCTTTTCCCAAAAAGGACTTAAAACCTACTAGTGAATCTTCCTGCTGTGTCCTATAAAACAATCTAAAATGGCATTCTGGGTCCTCTTCCATTAACAGTAATCAGAGCACAAAAACTATAGTCTAAAAGAACCACAAGTACACTCAGAAGGAGAAGGGAGATAAAGGAGGCCCACAGAGGGCTGAGCTCCTGGGTCCGAGAACAAAAGTAGGAAGAACTGTGCACGGAAGCCTCTTCCAGAACAAACACCATCCTACACATACGGCCTGGACACAGACACAGATACAGGCATTCCCATATTGAGGCAGAAAGTGGCCAGCCAACACTGAGAATCAATGACAAATGGCAGAGGGACAGACAGACAAAAATCAACAGTTTGGAAAGTATAATGTATGTAAATTCCACTGGAATGAAAATAAATAATTTCAAAGTGATAAATGTAAGAAATATAAAGATAATCCTCATAGAATTATAAAAGAGGAAGACGAGAACTTATATTTCTCCGGCAATATCCAAACAAAATTCATAGAGAAATTGTAGAACAGATCATTGGAAGCAAATCAATAGAAGCGCGAACTCACTGGCAGAGAATTTGTTAGGGCTTTTCTGTGATTAACATAGGTCTCAAGATTATGATGATGATGATTTTGAGACAGAGTCTCACTGTCACCCAGGTTGGAGTGCAGTGGCACAATCTTAGCTCACTGCAACCTCCACCTCCTGGGTTCAAGCGATTCTCGTGCCTCTGCCTCCTGAGTAGCCGGGATTACAGACATGCACCACCATGCCCAGTTAATTTTTGTATTTTTTGTATTTTGTATTTTTAGTAGACACCATGTTGGCCAGGCAGGTCTCAAACTCCCGGCCTCAAGTGATCCGCCCACCTCAGCATCCCAAAGGGCTGGGATTACAGGCATGAGCCACTGGGCCCAGCCATCAAGATTATATGTATTCATTAGGCTTCTTACAGTGGCTTTAGTTTCCCCAGTGCTCTGACGGCCTGATGCCCAGAGGAGGGTGTTTTTGGTTACCAAACTAACATCCCAGTCACTGGAAAGTATAAACCCCGTTATAAATCCATAAAGTGGCATGAGATGAAAAAGCCTGTCTATTGAGTGTCTGACTGGCATAAATCATTTTAAATAGAACTTAAAAAGAGAAGACAATCCACAAACCCGCAGGAGTACAGACAGATTCTGAAAGTTGTTGACCCTCCCTTAAAACAGTCTGCCTGCTTGCTCCACAGAAATCCCTGCTAATGCCCCCTGCCCTTCAGCTTACTGGCCTACTTTTTCGGCATTTATCTTCCTCATCACTAGGCTTCCTGAGTGTCTCCTCTCTCTGCTAGGAAGTAAATGCCAAAGTCGCTGAAATCTATTTTCACACAAATAGAATTTCAGTAGAATTCTATATATTTTAGTGTCTAAATTAGTTAATTTATATTTCAGTGATTATCCAGGTATCTGTTTGCCCATTCATCCTCTGCTTTGTCACAAAAGAAAGAGATCCCATATGTTTAAGAACCAAGACAGAAAGTACTTGAAAAAAATACCTGCTCTGAAAACAGTGGCTGATATGCAAAGTGTTCGCATGGATGACAGGTTACAAGAGGAGGCAAGTGGCAGAACCAGGATGGCAGTAGAAAATTAAGTATGAAATGCAACTTAATCTGGGATAGGAGAGGTTCATGCTATGAACTTTGTCATTCACTTTACTGCTATATCAACACTGTAGTTTCACTTTAGAGGTCAAAGTAACTAATTTTGAATGTACCTGCACAAATCCTCGTATTAGAGTTGCATCTCCCTCTTCCTCAGACTTGCCATGCTTTCTCTTTCCTCTTGCTACAGAGCCTTTTGCACATCTCTTCCATCTCCCCTTTGCCGAGTTAGTCTCTGCTTATCCTTCTGATTTCCGTTTAAGAATCATCTCCCCTGAGAAGCCTTCCCTGTAACCCCAACATAAATCGATTCCTTTGTGGTATGTTTGCTTAGAACTGGGTTCTTTTCCTTCCAAGCAATTGCTTCACTCTGTCGTAGTGTGTTCAGTTGTGAGGTTACCAGACTGTCCCTCTCCCCTACCAGACCATAAAAGCTCCATGAAGGTGAGGACTGAGCCTGGTTTGGCTCGCCATGCTATTCGTAGCACCTAACACATATCTCAATATTCACTGAACAAATAAATTAAACTGCCAAACTCAGAAAAGGTTTAGAAAGACCTCTGTGCACGATAGAGGGTGTTCTGTTTGGTAGATACTTTTTGGAGGGGGATGGGGAAGCAGATGCATTTCTTGCTTTCTGCTTAGCAACTGTATTTACCTGGGTCTTCCGTGTGGCTTGTGGCTCAATCATGATGTTGATAAGAGAGGGTTTAGCTGTGTCTGCTAGGCTCTGCCTCAGGGACTTTTGGAGTTCTTCTGGTGTTTTTACAAAATACCCTTTTCCTCCAAATGCAGTCATGACTTGCTCATAATGTGAATTTGGCAGCAAACACATTGGAGGGACCCTGAAAAACAAGGTCATGAGTCAATGAAATTTAAATCTTAAACCTTGTAGAAAAAAAACAAAAAGTCATTCTCTGAAATACTTCATTAAAAAAATTTAGGCTGAACTGAAAGGCATAATTTTAACTTCAACACTTAAGCAGAGATGCCAGTACACTGAGTTTTTCCTATGTTTATAATTGTCTATAAAGCAATGTCCAACAGAACTTTCTGTGATGATAGAAATGTTTTAAACCTGTGTGATCCAAAATAGTAGCCACTATCTACCTGTTGCTGTGAGCACTTGAAACGTGACTAAACTGAGGAACTAAATTTTTAACTTCATTTAATTTGAAGTAATTTAAATCTAAATTGCAACAGTTGCAACCTGCCTAGTGGCTACCATACTAGATAGTACAGGCTACACTACCAACTATTATGAATCCAGAAGAAAAATATGAAAAAAAAAAAAAAAAGATTAGTGCAAAACAACAAATAACAAGAAAACAACAAATAAAGTTGGCGAGGCATAAATAGACACGCCCATATCCTGTTCCACCCCAAGGCTGGCTCACAAATTCACATCTATCTCACATTCCACGGCCAGCTACAATACCGTCTTAATTTGGCTCTGCCATCAGATGATCAAGATTTAGCTAAGTGGTAAAAGGAAGGTAGGCCTCTGGAACATACATAATATGTACACATCCACATTTCTACATGGTGTTTCTACATGGTCCTACTATTGCTCCCAGTCCTGGCAGCATTTTGCAATAAGCCTTCTCATTAACAAGGCTCAGACATCACACTCATTTATCTGAGTCTTCAGCTGTTCCCTGATTATAAACTATTTATTGAAGCACCTAATCATGGATATTTGTGCAAAGAGGAACTAAGACAGGATTCCTGCTCTTTAGAAGGGCTGACAATCAAAACAGACAATACTCATACCATGTAGGCACACTATTGCCAATATAGAAGACTTTTTAAGAGATTAAAACGGGTGAGAGGAAGTAAATAGACATTGGTCTTGGTTACTTACACTGAAGCAGCATCTTGGAATTTTAACATTTCTTTCCAAGTATCGGTATCAAAACCTTGGTAAATTCCATTGTTATTCACTACCAAGAGTATGATTGGCAAGTTGTACCTAAAGTGAGAGTAAAATATGAAGGAAATTATTCTTCATTCTAAAGTAATTTCTTTTCTTTGGGCTGAAATTTTAACTTAAAAATGAATAGTTTTCTATAAGCTTTTTGTGATATTAGAGGAAGACTAAAAGTCAAGCATTTATTATCCTAAGAAAGAATATCAAATCATTAACAGAAACATCATGGAAAGGCAGAAAGATTGCGAGATTAAGAGTTGTTAGTCCTGGCTGGGCGTGGTGGCTCACGCCTGTAATCCCAGCACTTTGGGAGGCTGAGGCAGGCAGATCACAAGGTCAGGAGTTCAAGATGAGCCTGGCCAATATGGTGAAACCCCGTCTCTACTAAAAATACAAAGATTAGCTGGGCATGGTAGCACGGGCCTGTAGTCCCAGCTACTCGGGAGGCTGAGGCAGAAGAATCGCTTGAACCCAGCAGGTGGAGGTTGCAGTGAACCGAGATCACACTACTGCACTCCAGCCTGGGTGACAGAGCGTGACTCCATCTCAGAAAAAAAAAAAAAAAATAGTTGATAGTCCTTTAGCTATTAGCTATGAACCTCAGACAAATCACTGAGCTTTTCTGAATCTAGGTTTTCATAAGTCTAGATGGTATACGAAGAACACCTTCCCTATTTAATACTCTCTAAAGGACCACTTCTAGTTGGTTCCTAGGAACAATGTTTGAAAAGTACCTTTCTATTTACTGAGCTCGCCACAGACACCCAGCCCTTGCTAGATGCTGTAGGAGATACACAAGTGACTAGCACACACAATCTGCACTCAAACTACCACACCCATAATCAGAAACACATTACATGGTGTAATCGTTACAGAAAAGGCGTATTTAACAATGTGCTAAACAGTACAGCAAAGACAAAAAAGAAAAGGTTGATTAAATGTTATTGACTGAAAAGAATGTAGGTTTTATTTTCTAACATAATTTCCAAGGGCAAGTAGTAAAAACAAAACTAAACTGCATACCGTTAAATAACAGGACTGTGGTAATTATTTGTTCTCCATGCTCAAAAGGAATCATTATTCACTAAAAGGCTGACTTCCCCATAAGTCATCTTTTTTATGTAGATCACTTTGATGTCAATAAAGACACTCTACCAGACACATATAGTCAGACCTCATTATCTGAGTTCTGCATCCGTGGATTTAACCAACTGCAGGTCAAAAATATTTGGAAAAAAAATTTGGGTCTGTACTCAACACACACAGACTTTGTTCTTGTCATTATTCCCTAAGCAATACAGCACAACAATTTTTTATATAGCATTTATATTGTATTCAGCATTTTAAGGTAATCTAGAGATCATTAAAAATATACGGGGTGATATGCATAGGTTATTTGCAAATACTGTACCATTTTATATCAGGGACTCACTTGAGCATCCTTGGATTTTGGTATTTGAGGAAGGTCCTGGAACCAATCCCCCATGGATATGGAGGGACAACTATACCTTCCCAAATCTTGAACGTTTCATCTACCAAAGCTTTGCCAGCCCAAAAACATGAGTCACAAAAGCCCTAATAAGAACCCTGGCTAAGAATAGAATAGTTTTACTACAGTTTAAATATAGCTGGAAAAATAAAACCCCCATCCTTCTATAGTTAGGATCTACAATTCATGAGTTTCTCCATGAATTCTCATAACTACACACATGATCCAAATGGCTCATGTTCACTGAGCATCACCTCAGAGTTTAGCTGGGGCCAAGCACGGTGGCTCACACCTGTAATTCTAGCACTTAGGGAGGCCAAGGTGGGTGGATTGCTTGAGCTTACAAATGCGAGACCAGTGTGGCCAACATGGCAAAACCCTGTCTCTACAAAAAAAAATACAAAAAATTAGCTGAGCGTGGTGGTGCATGCCTGTGATCCCAGCTACTCAGAAGGCTAAGGAAGCACGATCACTTGAACTTCAGTGGTTGAGGCTACGGTGAGCCGCAATTGCACCATTCCACTCCAGCCTGGGTGACAAAGCGAGACCCCCATCTTGAAAAAAAAAAAAATTGCTTGGATTATCTCATTTGTTCCTCATAATCATCTTTCTAAGGTAGGAACTATGACTAATCCTACTTTTTTTTTTTTTCAAGGAATTTCTGCCTAAAGGATACTATTCCTACTTTAGAAGAGATGAGACTAAGGCTTGGTTAAGTGACTTTTTTGTTTGTTTGTTTGAGACAGAGTCTTGCTCTGTCGCCCAGGCTGGAGTACAGTGGTGCGATCTTGGCTCACTGCAACCTACGCCTCCCAGGTTCAAGCGATTCTCCTGCCTCGGCCTCCCAAATAGCTGGGACTATAGGCATGTACCACCACACCTGGCTCTTTTTTATATTTTTAGTACAGACAGGGTTTCACCATGTTGGCCAGACTGGTCTCTAACTCTTGACCTCAGGTGATCTGCCCACCTCGGCCACCCAAAGTGTTGGGATTACAGTTGTAAGCTACCATGCCCAACCTTGGTTAAGTGACTTAAAGTCACATGGCTCTGACTTGATAGAACCAGTTTTTAAATCCAGGCCATTTGTCCCACATTGAGACGGGGTCTCACTCTGTTGCCCAGGCTGGAGTGCAGTGGTGTGACTTCAGCTCACTACAACCTCCACCTCCCAGTTCAAGCAATTCTTCTGCCTCAGCTTCCTGAATAGCTGGGATTACAGGCATGCTTCACCACATCTGGCTAATTTTTTTTTTTTTTTTTTGTATATTTAGTAGAGATGGGGTTTCACCATGCTGGCCAGGCTGGTCTTGAACTCCTGACCTAAAGTGATCTGCCTGCCTTGGCTTCCCAAAGGGCTGGGATTACAGGTGTGAGCCAAGGCACCTGGCAGAAGCCATGCCCTTAACCACCACACTCGCTATTTCCCATAGGAAATAAGCTTCTTTCAGTCCCCAACATTTTTTTCCAGTGACCTCAAAACCACTCCCCACAGTTTTATAGGTTTTTACCACACAGTGAGGAGGCCAGAAAGATACTGTTCTGGAAGAGAAAGACCGTGGGTTACTGCCACTAGCATCCTCAGGACAGAGCACAGTGCTATTCACAGGGCAGCTGGTGAACACCTGGTAAGTATTTGTCAGATGACTGTGTCATTTTTCATATTCTAGAGAATCAAATGCTCTGATTCAGGATGATGTTTTACCTGCAGATGGTTTCCACCTCCATGCCAGAAAACCCAAATGCACTGTCTCCTTCCACACAGATGACCCGTTGCCCAGGGCTTCTATCTTTAGCCACCATGGCAGCTGCAATAGCAAATCCTAAACCAACTCCCATTGTTCCGAAAGTACCAGCATCAAGCCTGTTGGAGAACAAAGCTAAAATGAAACCCTCTGGGGCATGTCATAGAGGATGGGGTTGGCACAAACCTTCTAGTCCTATTTACATGGTTGATGGAAAAATAAAGAACCATAAAAACATTCTCTTTCTTCAATATAAAATCCTTAGACTGTTAGGAACTAATTTGTCAAGGACAGAAAAAAGCCACTCATGTTTGCTTGGGAGACTATAAACATATTCCTATAACACTAAGTAAATAATTATCACAGGATACCAAGAACACATCAAGCATAAAAACTCTACAAAACCTCACCTAACAATACTTTTATGAAATATGCCCTTACATACTGAACATGTATTAATTCTCAAATGTCTTCTTAATCTGCACTATTATAGTTTCATATTAAACACATCATAATGAATTACGACTTCTTTCTTATTTAGAAGTCTTACCTGTGGCGAGGAAGGTAGTTCTGAAGCACAGTCCGTCCAATGTCCATAGTATTTGCTCCTTCGCTTACCACAAAGCAGTCTCTAGGTAGTTGCTCTTGAACATGGTAGAATACTGTGTAATAATTCATAGGCAGAGATTCTCTGGAAGCTAGTTCCTGAAAAGTAGATGGGAATGTAATCAAATTAAATTGGGATACAATGAAAATAACCAATGTTAATAAACTGTTATCAAACTTATTTGGAAATATGCAACAACTACAAAAGCTACAAGGTTCCCAAATGGCTATAAAATGGCCACTCTGAGAAGCTGGCTGACCTGTGAACAGCCCTGGGGGACATGTGTCCCACAGTCCCAGTTTGGAACACAATTAAATAAGCTTGGGAATATCCCTCCTCTTGGAGATCTGCAACGCACAGGAGTGTATTAAAGACTCTGAGAAGTCCTATAGTAAAGAGAGCTGGGAAGCACTGGGTTATATAAAACTAAACATTCTTATTTGAGCACTCTTAGGAAAATGGTGCCTTAGAAAAAGTAAAATTTATTTCAGAATATTTTCATCTGAAATATGACCCTAAACTTAAACTGTCACGATTTTAGAACACAATCCGAAAATCTAGTTTTTCCCCCAACACACTTGAGAGTAAAGGAGATACGTTACCCCCACTATTCTAAAGAGTCCCTGAATGGAGAGAAAAACAGCAAAGTAAATGCCTTTGTTTAGCCACATGCCTTTTAGGGCTGAGAGAAAGCCATAGAGAGTTTTAGCAGCAACAGTCCCATCGGGTCCCAGCACTGCCTCTTCACTTATGCTACTTTGTTCTGCTGGACATTATACCCATGATAAATGAGGGACCCTCCTATACTCTGGCACCAAGGAAGAGAGGCAAGTCCCTTCTATCTTAAACCAATATCATTCCTATGTGAAAGAAAAGATTAGTCATGATACGACTCAGGAAATAAAATTGAGACTGGTGGCTGGGTGCAGTGGCTCACGCCTGTAATCCCAGCACTTTAGGAGGCTGAGGCGGGTGGATCACGATGTTAGGAGTTCAAGACCATCCTGGCCAACATGGTGAAACCCTGTCTCTACTTAAAAAAAAAAATACAAAAATTGCCTGGGTGTGGTGGCTCACACCTATAATCCCAGCACTTTGGGAGGCTGAGGTGGGCAGATCACCTGAGGTCGAGAGTTTGAGACCAGCCTGACCAACATGGAGAAGCTCCGCCTCTACTAAACATACAAAATTAGCCAGGCATGGTGGCGCATGCCTGTAATCCAGTTACTTGGGAGGCTGAGGCCGGAGAATCACATGAACCCAGGAGGCAGAGGTTGCAGTGAGCCAAGATCGCGCCACTGTACTCCAGCCTGGGCAACAAAAGCAAGACTCCATCTCAAAAAAGAAAAAAAAAAATTAGCCGGACGTGGTGCCAGGTACCTGTAATCCCAGCTACTCAGGAGGCTGAAGCAGGAGAATCGCTTGAAACTGGAAGGCAGAGGTTGCAGTGAGCTGAGATCACGCCACTGCACTCTAGCCTGGGCAACAAGAGTGAAACTCCATCTTAGAAAAAAAAAATGAGACTGGCTCCGGATAGAAACAGTCGTTGATTAAAATTCCAATGTAGGCCAGGCACAGTGGCTCATGCCTATAATCCCAGCACTTTGGCAAGCTGAGTAGGGGGAACATGAGGTCAAGAGATGGAGACCATCCTGGCCAACATGGTGAAACCCGTCTTTACTAAAAATACAAAAACTAGCTGGGCATGGTAGTATGTATCTGTAATCCCAGCTACTTGGGAGGCTGAGGCAGGAGAATCACTTGAACCCGGGAGGCGGAGGTTGCAGTGAGCTGAGATCAGGCCATTGCACTCCAGCCTGGTGACAGAGCAAGACTCCGTCTCAAAAAAAAAAAAAAAAAAATTCCAATGTAAGATAGATTCATGCATAATCAATTCTGCTATAATGCTTGATGCAAAAACGTGAATTTATTCTAGGACAATCGATATATTAGGGAACCAAGTGAGCATAACTCAAATTTTATATTTGCTTATGCATGATTCTACCAGAAATCTGCACCCAGTTGAACAAAGATACATAGGAATACACAAAACAATTTTTAAAAATCACCTTTCTCACATAGGGAAAGCACAATACACACACACATGCACACACACACATGCACACAGGTGCATGTACATACACACATACAGACTTTACTGTAAATTGCCAAATCCTACAGCACTGATTCATTTCAGTGCTAGTAGTAGACAGTTTGATGGTTTCTAGCATCACTACAATTTCCAAAACCTTAGCTACCAGGCAAAGCCAAGAGTGCAAATGAGAGCGCCGCAAAAAAATTTCCAGCAGTGATACAAAAGTTAAATAGAAAAGAAGGCTATACATTGGATCAAAATTTCAATTTTTATGAAACAGCTATTATAATAGCACGCCCTGAAGGACTTAAATCTTAAAAGCAGAAAAACATCTCAAACATCCCAAAATTTAAGGATTCCCAAAACAAAAAAATCACTTAATAGTTAATTTTTCCTTTAGAGACAGGGTCTCACTCTGCCACCCAGGCTTGAGTGCAGTGGCATGATCTAGTGCACTGCCACCTCAACTCCTAGACTCAAGCAATCCTCCAATATCAGCCTCCTGAGGAGACAGGACAACAGGTGTGTCCCACCACATCTGGCTAATTTTTTTTTTTTTTGTAGAGACAATGTCTTGCTATACCCAGGCTGGTCTCAAACTCCAGGCCTCAACTGATCTTACTGCCTTGGCCTCCAAAAGCACTCAGATTACAGGTGTTTAAATATGATGTTCTATGCCAACATCAAACTGAAAACACACCCATCCACTTCTACTATTATCACTTTCCATCTGACGTCTGATCACCTTTCTTCCACCAGCTCACAGTAACTCACAAGCTACAACCTTTCAGAAACTTCAGGTCTTTTTCAAAGTAAAATGCTATATTCATTGGCATATATTTCTTAACCATTTAACATGTTTAAAACATTAGGCTCTTATCTTATTTTTATGTTACACCAAGTTTTTGAGAATTGTGCCACTACACCCCTTTTTCCATGAGCCCTGGGGTTTTTATTGCACAATTTTGCACAGCAAGGTGATTTTTAGGAATGCACATGTCACGTTACGGCAGAAGTAACTGAATCATGCGCCTGACCTGTTCTTGAGCTTCAGTAGGTCCCATTTTACCTTGGATGCAGCTTCATTGCTCTTCATTTTTTCTCTCAGAGTTTTCCACCACTTGCTCTCTGGAGGATACTGCCATGGTGTTTTATCAAATTCCTCTAAAAGCTAAAAAAAAAAAACACACACACACACACACACACACACAAAACCATATAAACTTTTTCTTTGCCTTTTTTTTTTGAAATGAAGTCTCGTTCTGTCACTGAGGCTGGAGTACAGTGGCGCAGTCTCAGCTCACTGCAACCTCCACCTCCCAGGTTCAAGCGATTCTTCTGCCTCAAACTCCTGGGACTACAGGTGCCTGCCACCACACTCGACTAATTTTTGTATTTTCAGTAGAGACGGAGTTTCACCATGTTGGCCAGGGTGGTCTCAAACTCCTAACCTCAGGTGATCTACCTGTCTTGGCCTCCCAAAGTGCTGGGATTACAGGGATGAGCCACCGTGCCCAGTCTGCTTTAAAAAAATAAATTTAAATCATATTAACATGGAAATATCTTCTTAAGGAAGACAGTATGGCCATACTACTCTTCATATTACTCAGACTCTTTTTTTCCTCTAGTTAGTAAACACCTGATAGAATATCAATGGATAACATGGAAGGCTTCCGTTTGGGTCAGTGTGGGTTTCTGCTAGATGCTGGAATGCCCTTAGGACAGACTGGAGTACTGTTACCTCCTCCACACCTCAAGCAGGGGCTCTGAGACCCTCCTTGGTCTTTAACACTAGAAGGAAAATCACTCCTTCCACAGAACTCTTATAGGAAAACCAAAAAATAACCATGGATTTCTATGATACAGACCATTTGCTCCAGAGTGATTTAATATGTGATTCGGGATTACATCCTATACTGTGTAATCGTGACAACCATACCAAATTGTATCATCCAAAATCAAGTGATAAATGTGTCTATATTTTATCTCCTGTCACAGTGAAGTGTACAAACTACGTACAAATAATAAGAACCTGAAAAGTCACTGATTAAAGAGTAAAAAGCTCTTTTTTACCTAAAAAAATACTGTTAGACTTTTCCAGTGCTAAGCCATTTCTTGGCAGTAAGTTCAGTTCCTTTGGAAGGTATACTTTTTCAGATAGCTGGATCCTATTTAGTAAATTACGGTTTGCCTACTGAAAGATGTTACATTTTCGATCACCTTCCAAAAATGCTTAACTTACATAAAAATGAGCTATGTACCAGAAGTTGGACTTATCAAGTTCCAAAGTTGTATTTAAGAATAGTTTTCGATCACACATTTTGTTTAAAACAGATATGAATAGTAGACCTGTTACCAAGTGAATCAAGATTAAAACATTTTCAAGAATTGACTATTCCCTAAAGAGCACTCCACACAAACTAAAACAAAAGTTCTCACCTGCTTAGTGACAGCATTTATGTCTCCTAGTAAAGTAACAGCCGGCTTCACATTATTACCCAATTCTTCTGCACAGATATCAACCTAAAAAAGAGACAAGGCTAAAGAACAATCCATGTTTATTCTGAAAAATATGTCAGAAATCAATTAAGACTGAATAAATGAACTGTGTATATAGAACACATGATAAAGAAGATTTGATATTTCGAAGTTCCTTAATAAAAAAAGTAAAAGTCCATAGAACTATATTAGTATCATAGCTAGTATAGAGAGCCTCATTTAAAAATCTACTCTACGGAATTTTGGTATTGCTTCATTATACCCATAGCGAATGCATTTGACCTGATCAATTATGGTTTTGCATCTAATCAGTAAGTTTTATTGAATCACACTTGGAATTCCTATCTAGAGTGTAGGTTCTCAAATTTGAGCATATATCAGAGTCACCTGGTGTATTCTGGGCTTGATAAACCATAGACTGTAGGAGTCTACCTCAGAGTTTTTTATTTTAATAAGTCTGGGGTAGGGTCCAGAAATGTGCTTTTCTAACAGGTTTCACAGGTGGTGCTGATGTAGCTGGCCCAGGGAATCACATTTAGAGAATCACTCCAAGAACATGGTGTGATTACTTCTCCATTTACTCAGAAGTTCCATGTCTGGATGGCCATGGACAAACGAAAATGGCTTCTGCAAAGAGGAATAATGTAGCCACCCCAAAGGGGATGTATCTTATTCTATAATCAAGAGGGGTAATCAAGAGGTATCAGTATCTTCCAGTTAACTCAGTCTTGCTTGTCTGCGGTTTTAGTTCTCAATGCGTTCAGCTGGGAAAGGAGCAATTAGACGTTGACTCCTTAAGTAGCAAAAGGTAGACTGGGAAAAGGGCAACTGTAGCTGGCTCATCAAACATTAAAATAACCCAAGCACAGTGGCTCAAGTCTGTACTCCAGCATTTTGGGAGACTGAGGTAGGAGAATTGCTCGAGGTCAGGAGTTTGAGACCAGCCTGGGCAACACGGTGAGAGTGTGTCTTTACAAAAAAATAAAAAATTAGCCAGGCATTGTTGTACGCGTCTATAGTCCCAGCATGTCAGGAAGCTGAGGTGGAAGGATCACTTGAGCTCGAGAGATTTAGGTTGAAGTGAGCCATTATCATGCCACTGCACTCCTGCCTGGGTGACAGAGCAAGATGCTGTCTCAAAAACAACCACCAAGCAAAAACATCAAGCAAAATGGGGCCAATCAATGTAGAGCAAAAAGGTTTGCATGCCACTATGCAGGTAGTATTTTCCACATCAGTAAAGAAACTGGCTTATAAGGTGGGTCATAATGATAGAAGAATCATCAAAGACAGGTCAGAATACATTCCGGATACTGTTTAATGACATATAAAACAGTGTCATTTAGAAATTCCCATTGGAAAGGTAAAAGTTTTGGCATCTGAAAGAAAACCTCACTCCCTAACAAGGCCAAATGTTTTGTTCTAGTCTACCATCCTACAGTCTCTTTTCTCTACCTTTAAATATACTTGAATTGTGAAGAAAAGACAAATTATGCTTTTTAAACTGTTTGAAAGTTAATTTTGAAAGGTTTTCTGGCTAGAAGTAAAGCGGCCCATTATGTTTCATAGGCTAGAAAAGGAAGCTTATTTTGGTACCTGTAATTATGTTAGACAATTTATAAAATTCTACTTACGTAAAAAGAGAACAGTTTTTTTAATAGAAATCAAGAAGAAAACAGAGCTGATTATGGCTGATAGGGAGAACAATGAACACAGACATTTCTGATTTTAAGTTCCTCCTAAGTACCTGGATAAACTTCACATCTGGCTGGTATCTTGGAGGCAGTCCAAAATGTAAAATCCAATTTAGTCTGGCACCAAATAACACAATTACATCAGCAAATTGCAAAGCCCTATTAAAAAAATTGATATAAAAGTATAACTATATTTCTTATTTGAATCATTCTAAAATTTATCTCTAAAGTATTTGAAAAGTCTAAATCATTTGGAGCTTACATCAGACTTCAGAATCAGCTTCTAGGGTATATTTGATCTTTCAAGCTAAAATAATTTATAAAACCATTCTATATAAATAGTTACCTAAAATATAAATTAAGTTTAAAAAATTACCATAAGCTGTATCTATACTTTTATTACTTTTTTATAATTAGAAAAATTAGTACAAGTCCACTGTAGACAATCCAGAAAAAAACAGAAAAAGTATAAGGCTAAAAACAAAATCACCCCATAATACTTTCAACTTATAAACTATTATGAATATCCTGGCATATTTTCATCCACTCTTTTTTTGTATGCAAATATATTTTTACATAGTTGACTTTATATACTATAATACTGTCTCATACACTTTTTTTTGTTTTGTTTTGAGACACGGTCTCTCTCTTTCGCCTGGGCTGAAATGCAGTGGTACAATCATGGCTCACTGCATTCTCTACCTCTCAGGCTTAAGCAATCCTCCTACCTCAGCCTCCTGAGCAGTTGGGACTACAGGCACGTGCCACTGCACCTGGCTAATTTTTAATTTTTTGTAGACTGGTCTCGAACTCCTGGGCTCAAGCGATTCACCCGCGTTGGCCTCCCAAATTGTTTGGATTACAGGCATGAACCATTGTGCCTGGCTGTCTCATATACTTTTGCTTACATAAATGTTTTCCTGGCCTGGTGCAGTGGCTCACGCCTGCAATCCCAACACTTTGGGAGGCCAAGATAGGCAGATCACGAGGTCAACAGATGGCGACTACCCTGGCCAACATGGTGAAACCCAGTCTATACTAAAAATACAAAAATTAGCCATGCTTGGTGGTGTGCACCTGTAGTCCCAGCTACTTGGGAGGCTGAGGCAGAAGAATCGCTTGAACCCAAGAGGCAGAGGTTGCAGTGAGCCGAGATCACGCCACTGCACTCCAGCCTAGCGACAGAGCGAGACTATGTCTCAAAAAAAAAAAGTTTTCCTTTGTCATTAAGTTCTTAAATACAACTTTTAAAGTCTACATATTTTGCTGAACACATATACCAAAATTTATTTAATGTTTTCTCAATTTCTGGATATTCTGTTATTAATAGTGCTGGGTTGCACATCTTCATACTTAAGTCTTAATGCACTCTTCACGTTGGTCCCTAGAAAGAAGTATTTTTAAGACTATTGATCCATATTCCAGAATTGCTTTCTAAAATATTGTATCAACTAGATTTCTAAGTTTTATTTATTTTAATACTTTTGTCAATATAACTTCTAATCTTTTAATGATTTTTACTTTCATAACACAACCACCCTTGCTTGCTTTTTCTTTACTTCATTTATCTTTGCCCAGTCTTGTTTTAAAGCTGTATCATTATGTTTCAGATGTGGCTCTTATAACACATATAGTTGCTGTTATTACTAATCTAATCTGAATGTCTGCCTTTTTCCAAGAGAGTTTATTATCATCATCGCTGTGGGTTTTGTTTTGCTTTTCACTTCTCATTTTTCTGCGTCTTTTATCTAGTTCCCATTTTTCTTGTCTTTTGCCATACAGGATCTGTATTTACTGCTTTTGTCTTCTTCGGTGATAAATGCAATTTTTCGCAGAAATTGTATACTCAAAAATTAAGCACATACTCAAAAATCATCTTCAATATTGTAATAGTCCTATGAGACCCAATTTAACAAACAGATAACTGCAATCAGCAGGACAGACTTGCTTACTGATACTCTAAAACTCTTGAAACCATTGATTTGATTATTTATAGCCCCTTGCAACCTTTTTTACACTGGCAATGTCATTAATATTATCCTCTTAAAATCTGGCCAGATTGAAGATAAACTTCATTTTAACCTAAGTATAAAAAAAATTAACAGTGTAAGAATTAACTTGGTTACTGTATATAGTAATATAAATAAAAAGACGATATATTAAGGTAGCATTAAGTGAGGAACAATTAAAGATCTAGCAGCAAATATTACATTTACAAAGCCCTCAGAAGTTAAGTGTTCACGCCTGTATTCCCAGGACTTTGGGAGGCCAAGGTGGAAGGATCACTTGAGCCTAGGGGTCTGAGTACAGGCTGGGGAACACAGTGAGGCCCTGTCTCTACAAAATAAAAATTAAAAACCTTCAGAATTAATTTTAACCCATGAATGAAAATATGAAGAACACCAAATACGTGACAATAATAAACTATGGAAAGGGAAGGAAAAAATGGGATCAAAAAAGATATTTAGGGGACTGCAAATGAATCCATAATTTTTTGCTTCCTAAAAAGAAAAAAAAAACCAACCCTAGGCCAGGCATGGTGGCTCATGCCTGTAATCCCAGCGCTTTGGGAGGCTTAGATGGGTGGATTCCTTGAGCCCAGGAGATCAAGACCAGCATGGGCAACATGGTGAAACCTCGTTTGTACAAAAAATACAAAAATTAGCCAGGTTGTAATGGCACACGCCTGTAGTTCCAGCTATTAATACTTGGGAGGCTGAGGTGGGAGGATTGCTTGATTGCGCCACTGCACTCCAGTCTGGGCAACAGAGCAAGACCCCCTCTCCAAAAAACCCAAAAACCCTAAAGCAATATAAAATAATGTTAATAACTGATGCAATCCTACTTATTATATATTATTCCCAAATGAAACCTTTTTTACTTAGAGATTCATCTGTCTGTACTTTTTATGTTGACACTGAGTGGTGGTTATGTAAGTGTTCGTTACATTATTCTCTCTTCCTGTGTGTATAGCTAGAATATTTCATAATAAAGACATTTCAAGAAATTAAAAAGAAAAAAGTTATAGTACATTAAAAAGCATGTCTTAAAAATCTAAAAAGAGGAAGCTTCCAATGCCAGCCAAGATTGGGTAAGTCTGAAGAAGCAACCCACACAGAGGGTGAGTTTCCAAGGTATTTCTCCCCCGTGTTTTGTCTCCTGGCTTTCACTCAAAGACAGCCCTAGTTGCAGAACTGCAAGCAGCGAAAACTCGCAGAGAAACTGTTTTTTTGGCCAAAGGATCAGGAAAAGGGCCACTGCAAGCTGGACAGTCTAGGGGAAAATGGTCAGATTTTTCTTCTTTTTTTCTTTATCTCCCAGCTCTGCTCTGAGGGCAGCCCTACTGCAGAGCTGCATTGTGGTGGCTCCCAAGCAGCTGAAATTCCAAGAGAAACGTCATCTCTCAGGCAAGAGGGATTGGAAAAAAGGGTTCCTGTGGTCTGAAGAGCATGGGGACAATCCCCATTATTTTTTTCTTCTGCAGCTTGTTCAGAGGGCAGCTTTAGTTATATGATACTATAAGGGAGCAGCAAGAGCCAGGAAAAGGGGCACCTGAGAATGGGAGAGTGGGGGTGGGGAGCCTACGGAGGAGAGAAAATCTCTAATTTGGGTATGAACCAGTACATGTCTGGGGCTCACCCCTGAGCTGAGCATGTGCAGACAGCCTGAAAACAGCACAGCAAAGGCTCTGAAACTTACGTGACCCTGGAACTACTTACTTATGGTAAGTTCACACTTCAATTTGTAGTCAAGCTAATCTAATCATGTTGATTGATTGCTAAGAGAAACCAACAAAAATCAACATTCTACAGAGGATTTAATATGACCCAGAATCTCAAAATATAATATTCAAAAATCCAGGATACAATCCAAAATTACTCAGTACAAAAAGAGCCAGAAAAATGTGATCAACTCTCAAAATAAAAGATAATGAATAGATGCCAATCTGAGATGACTCAGATGTTGGAATTAATAAACAAAGACTGCAGAAACTATTGTAACTTACTCCATCATGAAGTATAGAAAAATATTCTTGAAAGAAATGTGAAAATAGAAGATCTGAGCAGAGAAAAAAAATATAAAATAAAAGAATTAAAAAGAAATGAATAGATACTCAGGGACATATCAGACAATATCAAAATGGATGAAGGTTGACATAGAAAACAATATTTGAAGAAAGAATGATGAAAACTTTCCAAATCTAGAGAAAGACAAATTTAGAGAAAGAAAGAAATTTTCAGATTCAAGACTTGAGAATCCCAAACAGGCTAAATTAAAATAAACCATGTACAGACACATCATAATTAAACTGCTGGAAACGAAAGATAAAAGAAAATATCGGGAGCAGCCATGGAAAAACAACATATTACATACAGAGCAACAATAATTTGAATAACTGCAGATTTCTCATATGAAACCAGGAAAGCCAGAAGATAGTCCAAAAATAAACAGGTATGCTTAAAATTCCACGATTCTTTCAGAACTCCATCCTAGATGAAGATCACAAAATAATTTAAATTAGCCTAAAATCTACCAAGCCATTGTATTTAAAATCTGGAACGCCACACACCTGGATCTGGCTGCACCTACACAGTATGGATGGTTGTCAGGGACAACACCCTTCCCCATAGGGGTGGGCAAAAATGGCAGTTTATATTGCTCCACCAATTTCTGGATACTCTCTTCTGCATGAGCATAAGCAGCACCTACAAGAAATACAAATGCATTGGACAATTCAGTTAAGCTCTAGGCACTGTGACCCTTAAAAAAGTTCATGTGGGCCGGGCGCGGTGGCTCAAGTCTAATCCCAGCACTTTGGGAGGTCGAGGCGGGCGGATCACGAGGTCAGGAGATCGAGACCATCCTGGCTAACACAGTGAAACCCCGTCTCTACTAAAAATACAAAAAACTAGCCGGGCGAGGGGGCGGGCGCCTGTAGTCCCAGCTACTCGGGAGGCTGAGGCAGGAGAATGGCGTAAACCCAGGAGGCGGAGCTTGCAGTGAGCCGAGATCGGGCCACTGCACTCCAGCCTGGGTGACAGAGCAAGACTCCGTCTCAAAAAAAAAGTTCATGTGAAATTGCTTTTTATTTATTTATTTTTTGAGACAGGGACTTACTCTATCACCCAGGCTGGAGTGCAGCGGCATAATTTTGGCTCACTGTAACCTCTGCTCCCCTGGCTCAAGTAATCTTCTCTCCTCAGCTTCCCGAGTTGCTGGGACTACAGGCACACACCACCACCGCACTCAGCTACTTTTAAAATTTTCTGAAGAGGCGAGGTCTCCCTATATTGCCCAGGCAAGTCTGCTGGTCTTGAACTCATGGGCTCAAGCAATCCTCCTTCCTTGACCTCCTACGAAATTGCTTGTAGATCAATACTCAAATACTCTCCTTCTGCCTATACCTGAGCTTAAACTCAAAACAAATTGTGACTACAGTTTTTATTGCTGTTATTTTTAAATGCTTACCAAAGTAAGAGTTCTAATCTTCCACCAATAATACTCTCAATTATTCTGAAGGATGTCTATCTCAAAACAAAAGTCACATCTCACAGCTCTTGCTACTGTCACTTACCCATTCTATGCTACGGTCCTACTGAACTACACTCCACTCTACAATTCCCTGAACACACTATCTTCATTGGGAGGCCCAGGTGGCCTGGGAAGAATGTTGCCCCGAAAGAGAAAAGCCCTCTCTACCCTCACATGTTGGTCCTCATCTCCAGCAAACCTCCTCTACACAAGGTCTCCTAGTCCAGGCATGGAAATTCTAAGGTGCATTAAGTTTCTAAAGATATGCAGATCTTTCTACAGGCTCTATAATTCTGTGATTGTAACAGAGCTAACCCAGTGGGACACATTATCTTTTTTTTTTTTTGAGGCAAAGTCTCACTCTTGTCATCCAGGCTGGAGTGCAATGGCGCAATCTCAGCTCACTGCAACCTCCGCCTCCCGGGTTCAAGCGATTCTCCTTCCTCAGCTTCCCAAGTAGCTGCGATTACAGGCGCCTGCCACCACGCCTGGCTAATTTTTGTATTTTTAGTAGAGACGGGGTTTCACCATGTTGGCCAGGCTGGTCTTGAACTCCTGACCTCAGGGGATCCACCCACCTCAGCCTCCCAGAGTGCTGGGACTACAGGCATGAGCCACCCCGCTCGGCCCACATTATCATTTGTTTTCACAGTTGTGTGCCTGGGAATAACCCTATACCCTATTCCCTTGATGGCACGAAAAATACCTTATTGTTCAAATATTCCATTTCTAATGTCATCAAGACCACTATATTTTTTTGCTATTTTATACTTTTTCAAGGCTAGTATATTATTCCATATTCTGTATTTATAATTCTCTACTGAATCCTAGTAAATAGTATCATGCACTTGCAGATTCAATATAATGCTCCATTCTATAAAACTACCTTGAAATCCCTTCTTATACATGTATGATGAAAATCAGTTCCTTTTTTTATCCAGAAAGTGTTCTTGTATTCTCCTTCCTGTCTCAATGTCTTTGTACACTCAGTTCTCTCTTCCTGCTTTGCCTTTGGTCTCTATCCACTTGGTAAACCACTGTCTGCTTTTTCAAGATACAGCTGTTGTGTCACCTCTTCTGGATAGTCCTTCCGTATTACCTACACAAGCAAATTGTTTCTGCTTTCCTTGAAAACCCACCTCAGCCTCTCTGTACCCATCGCACAAGAGTATACCACACTTACTTGTTACCAGGTCTATCTCCCCTCCCCAATAGGTAGGAACTACTATTTCTCTGTATCCCTCATGAATGTTTTATGTAATCCCTGCCTTATCATAAGCACTCATCAAATGTTTGTTAAAAGAAGAATGAAAACTAGCATCCACTGAGTGCTTTCCACATATTTTGCTATTTAATTGTATCCCACTGAGGCAGTTAATATCCCTATTTTACAAGTGAGGTAATCTGAGACTCAAAGCAGTTGTTTCCCAAAGTTACCGAGCTAATACATCATATAACACGTTCAACTCAATTCTGACCTCAATTTTTTTGTCGTACACTATCAAACTATTTTTAGTTTCTACGTATTTAGTTCCTAAGCAGTTGATAATTGATTAGCACGGTCATAGGTGATCCCAGCAGCCTCCGTTCTAGAACACGAAATGGATACTATAATCAGTTGCTGACAGGAGTATAAGTTGGTTGGTACACCACCTCTGGAGAAAGCAATATGACAATATGTACAAAACTCTTAAAAATATTAATACCCTCTAACTTTTCTTTCTAGGAATCTTAAATCCTAAATACAGAAAAAGCTTTAGGCACAAACATGTTTGCCACAGCTACTCTAAACAAACAAATAGTAATTGGCAAAGATTTAAATATTTGCCAGGAAAGTAAGTGTTAATGTACACATGAAGACACATTAAAAAATATACTTAGGAAATACTTCTAAGATGAAAAATATTATAATCTTAAATGAATAAGGTAGAATACAAAACTGTCTATATAGTATGAGCACAGTATGTAATATATGCGTCAAAAGGAATAGAAATGTACTAAATGTTAAAAATAGCTACCTTAGATGAAGGAACTTCTACTTTTCTTGGTTTTCCAAAATGTTTTATAATAGAATAAACACATTTCACTAATAAGACCAAAGAAATTAAATAGGTAGTATTTCCTTAAAAGGGTGAAATCTCTGGGCATTAATGTCTATAATTTCAAAACAAATAATGCTAAATGGATGATGAGAATTCTTACTCCAATTTCAAACATTAGAACAGACATTAATAAACAACAAAAGTTTATAAAAAGAATTGGCACTTTCAAAAGCCTAGCAAGATTTAGAGTTCTATTCATGTTACCTTTCCCGATGATAAGAAGGGGCTGTTTGGCATTCTTAATAACAGAAGCTGCCGTGCACACAGCAGAGGTTTCTGCCATGCTAATAGGAGGTGACATGCAGCGCTCCACGTGCCTGGAAAAAAAGAGCCCTATTAATTAAAAGAGGCCAGCTCTGATCTTTTCATTGTGAAAATTTCAAATATATAGAAAGGTAGAAAAAATAGTACAATAAGTCCCCACATACCCCCATATAGATCTAACAACTTAATATCATTTTACCACATTGTTTCATATATACACACATAAACATGCATTTATTTTTCCTGAACTATTCTAAAGTAAATAATAGGCATCAAGACACTTTACCCTTAAAAATTTCTCCGTGCAGCTGTGAATAATAAGGACCTTCTCCTATATTCAACTATCACATCATTATCACATCTGGTAAATTAAGAGTTATTCCCTGATATCATCTAATAGCCAGTGAAATGGTCAATTCATTGACAGAAAATCTGAGTTAATGGCTTTGTACTGCAGTAGCAGTAGCAGCTGTCTTAACAGTAAAAACATAATAAAATCTAATGTTTGCTATGTGCCATTTATTCTCATTTATCTGTCAAAACAATGAGGTTAGGTATTAACATCATCTCCACTTCACCACTGAGGAAAAAAAAGGACTCAGAGAAAGTAACTTATCCAAGATCTCCAGATGGCACATGGCAGAGACTGGATTGAACCAGTCATTCTGTCTCCAAAGTCCATGCTTTTAAACACCTTACCACATATCTTTTTTTTTTTTGGAGACAGAGTCTTACTCTGTCACCCAGGCTGGAGTACAGTGGTGCGAACTTAGCTCACTGCAACTTCCATTTCCCGAGTTCAAGTGATTCTCCTGCCTCAGCCTCCTGAGTAGCTGGGACTACAGGCACATCTCACCAAGCCTGGCTAATTTTTGTATTTTTCGTAGAGATGGGGTTTCACCATGTTGGCCAGGCTGGTCTCAAACTCCTACCTCAGGTGATCCACCCACCTCGGCCTCCCAAAGTGCTGGGATTACAGATGTGAGCCACCACACCTGGCCTCACTACATTTCCACTCACTGGGTGTTAATATTTTAGTATCACAATATGCATTAGTAAAATAAATATTCAAACTGTCACAGTCAAGTATTTCTGGACACCAAGTCCTGTGACATTTCATTTATTCTAATTAATATAAATTATACTGTATAAAATTTAGACATATTGTCAAAATATTTAGACATATAATAGAAAAGGACAATCTGTATAAAATTTAAAAGAAGGCTTACAGAGTTAACTTACCTGAGCTTGCCCTCCTCCCCTTAGTATTATTTTGATTATCATGTTCAGCTATTAGGCAGAATAAACAGATGTCTTTTTTATCCAGCTCTCTCAAATAAAAATCACTCCTGGCCAGGCACGGTGGCTCATGCCTGTAATCCCAGCACTTTGTGAGGCCAAGGTTGGCAGATCATGAGGTCAGGAGTTCGAGACCAGCCTGGCCAACATGGTGAAACCCTGTTTCTACTAAAAATACAAAAATTAGCCGAGCATGGTGGCAGGCGCCTGTAATCCCAGCTACTTGGGAGGCTGAGGCAGAAGAATCGCTTGAACCTGGGAGGCAGAGGTTGCAGTGAGCTGAGATTGTGCCACTGCACTCCAGCCTGGGCAACAGGGAGAGACTCGGTCTCAAAAAAAAAAACAAAAAAAATCACTCTTTGGTACACAGAGTAAACAGTAAGACCCACTGTCTCTCTGTAGTCACTAAAGATCCATTTGGTCCACAACAGCAGAAATGCACTAAACGGTACCCATGATGCTTTAACCCCAAGTACCTATCCTTATCAGGGGATGACTTAGATATCAGTGAAAAATGATTTTTGTACTTCTTTTCACTTAGTGTTTATTTAAGAAATATGAGAATATGAGAAATCATAGAAACCTCTATATTGGAATATTTGTTAACCACAGAGAGAGACAGCTAGATGTTTTTTATCCTGAGTCTTAATAATTTTTAATAATCACCGAACCTCTTGGCTTACATTATAAAGATTCTCAAGGACCCATACTACATTAACAAGGGATGTATATTTATGGTTAATGGAGGAATAATTTCAACGAGGAGTTCAGGACGTTCTAAGTATTTGGTTTAGTAATTAAATCCAGAAATACCTACTAATATCATTTTAATTAAGAGAATTAAGCCCTTTGGCTAGGATTCAGTTTAATTACTAAATCATCAAGTTAAGACAAATGGAAATTAACTTATAAACTGCTGGGTAAATTCTTCTAGAAAGGTAGGCATTATGATAATACATGTACATTGAAGAAAGAATTCCAGCATAACTATTACTCACTTTATAGAACTCACATTCACCTGAAGGTTCACAAAATCTGCTGGTATGTCAACATAGCAAGCACCTGGACGACCATAGATACTGCTTCTCACTGCCTACGTTCATTACAAGTAGAAGAAAAGATTTGTAAAATCTCAGTCTTATCATATTCTACTCAAAGATAATTTAAAACTGTAATTATGAACACTATTTTCATCTTTCTGATGATCACAATTGAAATGTCTTCTATTGACTACAGTTTTAAAGATTTTTTATTTAAAAGGGAGACAGATAAGAAAGTATTCATTTAGGGCTTTAAAATTCATGTTCTATTACACTTTAGTTTTGGAAATTATTCACCAGGCTCTGCCTGCCAAGTTTTTGCACTGTAATATGTACTTTCACCTGCTCCCTAATCTTAATAATCTGGCAGTGTTTTCAGAAACTGTGATGTTGTTACATGTATCAAACGGTTTCTGTAACTCCTGGTTTTGAAACAGCTCAAACATAATTTCATGTATAAATGCTGATTATAATTTATAATACAGATTATCTGTAATCCAAAAATCCAAAATCTCCCAAAATGTGAAACTTTGTGTGTGCCAACATGATGATACAAGTGGAGAATTCCACATCTGACCTCATGTGACAGCTCACAGTCAAAATGCAGGTGTCTAAACAGTTTATTCAGCGTCCCCAAGGGAAAAATAAAGTTATCATCAGACTATGTATATAAGGCACATATAAAACATAAATGAATTTCATATTTAGACTTGGGTCGTATCCCCAAGATGTCTCATTATATATATGCAAATATTCTAAAATCTGAAAAAATCTGCAGTCAGAAACCCTTCTGAAAAGCATTTCAGGTAAGGAATAATCAACCTGTATGCTGTTTAATTAACGAACAGAGGGTCTTAGAGGGTTTTGGTTTAGTCCCAATTTTCAAAAATAATCTTTTGCAAAAGCACAAGAGAAAAGGTACTCAGGGGTTCATTATAAACCTTTCTCTTTACTTTTGTATAATTAAAAAGGTAATTTTAAAAACTAAAACACAGGAGAAACTTTTTCCAAAAATAACTTATTTTACCTCTCTATAATTAAATGTAATGACAGTGAACATTAAAATGTAAATAGTTTTCTAACAATGCCATTTTTAACTGCCTGAGTATATTCCAATTTGTCACTCATTCTTCTGAGAATAAGAATAACATTAAATATAAGCAACTGAGAAAAATCAGTTGACTTGGAGAGCTTGTTACTAAATACCATACCTTTTCAATAACAAAAGGAACAGCTTCTATGCTGCTTGGACGGGCAGAGAACTTGGTATATAATCTACAAGCTTCAACCTACGGGGAAAATGAAAATCACTTAAAATTCAGCTCACAATCATATTACTCTCCTGAAAGAAGACAAAATGTTAATAATTAGTTTCTTTTATGTTTAGAGGCAAGATGGAGAAAATGCATTACCTAGACTGTCCCTTAAAAGCCTATTCAAAGCACAAAGTTTTGCCTTGGTATGATTCAGGAAGCATATCATACCAAAGATGCAAAATCTTTTGGCAAAGATGCAAAAGTTTGATAATACCCACCATCCAACACAACACAGGAAAATTCTACAAACTGCTGGTGAGACTATAAATGGGAAAGGAAGTTAACACAATCTACAAAAAATTTAAATCAGCGTATCTTTGGATCCAGCAATTTCACAGATAAGAATATGTAACTTCATCTGTTATATTTTGTTATAATAATAATCTATTCTTACATTTCTGCCAGTGTTCCTTTTATGTGCCTTCCTGCTATGGTGTTTAGAACATATGAATTCAGTAGTGATAATTTTTCACTGCTTAATATATCTTGAGGCATTATATAGAAACTGTTTCTCTTGAAACAGTTTTACAATTTCAGTATGAAATCTATGAAAAACTGATAGTCCCAGGCATGACAAAATTAAGATCACCCATGATTTTCAGTCTATGTTCATGTCCTTTAGTTTTAAGGACTTCCACAAAAAACAGATATTTGGATTCTTCCTCTTCTGTTTTTAAATTTGATCTAATAAACTATTATTTTCCATTTCAGGAAAAAAATATATAGTGGACATTTATCCTGTTTTCTTTTTCACCTATATAGTTTCTACAGTAACTTTAGATTTCCTTTTAATTAACTTATCTGCTCTACTTATTTTCCAAACACATCAGCATCTTTTAAATAACTGTTGTTATCGTCTACCATTAACTAAATAAAACTTCAATTCATTTCTAAGAGTATAAAAATATAATTTCTGCATTAACCTATACTACAGTTCAGTATTTTAGTTTATCATATATGAAAGTTTATGTTTTGAAGTTCTCAACAATGATTCCTGATTTACAAATAGACTTTGTCTAATGATTTTATTTATGTATTTATTTTTGAGACAGAGTGTCGCTCTTGTCACCCAGACTGGAGTATAGTGGTGCAATCTCAGCTCACTGCAACCTCTGCCTCCTGGGTTCAAGGGATACTCCTGCCTCAGCCTCCCAAGTAGCTGGGATTACAGGCACCTGCCACCAAGCCCGGCTAATTTTTGTATTTTTTAGTAGAAACAGGGTTTCAACATGTTAGCCAGGCTGGTGTCAAATTCCTGACCTCAAGTGATCTATCCGCTTGGGCCTCCCAAAGTAGTGCTGTGATTACAGGGATGAGACACTGTGCCCGGCTGTCTAATGATTTTAACTTTGTCCCTGTAAATGCTCAAATATATTTGCATCTTAAGTGTCAATCATTCACTTTCATCTATTTGTTTCCTACAACTGTTCCTTTTTTTAAAAAAAAAAAGACAAGGTCTCTTGGATGGGTGTGGTGGCTCATGCCTGTAATCCCAGCACTCTGGGAGGCCAAGGTGGGTGGGTCACTTGAGGTCAGTAGTTCAAGACCAGCCTGGGCAACATGGCAAAACACTGTCTCTGCAAAAAGTACAAAAATTATCTGGGCATGGTGGTGTGTGCCTATCTATAGTCCCAGCCACTTGGGAGGCTGAGGTGGGAGGATGGCTTAAGCCCAGGAGGTTGCAGTGGGCCAAGATCGCACCACTGCACTCCAGACTGGGCAACACAGTCATACCCTGTCTCAAAAAAGAGAGAGAAAAAAAAGAAAGAGACAAGACCTGAATATGTTACACAGACTGGTCTCAAACGTTTGGGCTCCAGCAATTCTCCCGCCTCAGCCTAGCAGCTGAGTAGCTAGGAATACAGTTATGAAACACCTTGTCTAGCTTTATTTTTATTTATTTATTTATTTATTTGAGACAGAGTCTCGCTCTTTCGCCCAGACTGGAGTGCAGTGGCTCGATCTCGGCTCGCTGCAAGCTCTGCCTCCCAGGTTCATGCCATTCTCCTGCCTCAGCCTCCCGAGTAGCTGGGATTACGGGTGCCCACCACCGAGCCCGGCTAATTTTTTTGTATTTTTAGTAGAGATGGAGTTTCACCGTGTTAGCCAGGATGGTCTTGATCTCCTGACCTCATGATCTGCCCACCTTGGCCTCCCAAAGTGCTAGGATTACAGGCGTGAGAGCTTTATTCTTAAAACTGTAGCATTTTGTTGATACATTCTTTCAAGTTTCTTTTAATTTTGAAATGCTTTCTTTCCTCCTTCTAAAACAAAAATATGCTTACCCAGAGTCTACTGACAATCATTTTGAGTAAGATTTTTCCTCTCATTTATTTCCCTAAAGTCTGGGAGGCATAGTCCAAAATCATTTTTATTCCTACCTCTTCTTGACTCTTTTAAGAGCCTATTTTCAGAGCTTAAAATCCTGTCACAAAGGTGTATTTCTTTTTTTTTTTTTTTGAGACGGAGTCTCGCGCTGTGTCACCCAGGCTGGAGTGCAGTGGCGCGATCCCGGCTCACTGCAAGCTCCGCCTCCCAGGTTCACGCCATTCTCCTGCCTCAGCCTCCCGAGTAGCTGGGACTACAGGCGCCCGCCACCACGCCCGGCTAGTTTTTTGTATTTTTAGTCGAGACGGGGTTTCACTGTGTTAGCCAGGATGGTCTCGATCTCCTGACCTCGTGATCCACCCGCCTCGGCCTCCCAAAGTGCTGGGATTACAGGCTTGAGCCACCGCGCCCGGCCACAAAGGTGTATTTCTTAAAAGCTTGTTTCTAAGCAGGGCCTAAGCTTACCCTTAATACCCACCCTGAGGTTGTCTTATAGTAGCTCAAGATAATTACCTTTAAGTTACTTCAGGTACTTCTAATTTATTTATTTTATTTTGCAAACAGGAGGGTTTTTTTAATCTTCTCCCTAACTCTTAATGGTGTGTATGTATCGTGTTACCAAAATCTTAAGAGTTGCAGGCCAGGTGCGGTGGCTCATGCCTGTAATCCCAGCACTTTGGAAAGCTAAGGCGGGCAGATCACTTGAGCTCAGGAGTTCAAGACCAGCCTGGGCAACATGGTGAAACCTCGTCTCTACAAAAAATTCAAAAATTAGCCAGGCATGGTGGTGCGAATCTGTAGTCCCAGCTGCTTGGGAGGCCAAAGTGGGAGGATTGCTTGAGGTCAGGAGGTCAAGACTGCAGTGAGCTGAGATCGCACCATCACACTCCAGCCTGGGCAACAAAGCAAGATCCTGTTTCAAAAATTAAAAATAAAAAAAGTAACATCTTAAAGTTGGATACCTGAGGAAACTCCTGGAAAGCTCCCATCGTTTCTTGGTTTCTTTCAGGGGAACCACCAATCACAAGCAAGGGCCTGAAACAGTCATTTTTTTTAACAAGATAATTACAAATGAGATCATCATGTGAAACACTAAACAGAATGTCTAATTCATAACAAATAATAAATGTTAAAGGGAGAGAATATTATATTTTTCTCTTAGAAACTGTAGATTAAGGCTGGGCAAGGTGGCTCATGCCTGTAATCCAGCACTCTAGGAGGCCGAGGCGGGTGGATCACTTGAAGTCAGGAGTTCAAGACCAGCCTGGCCAACATGGTGAAACCCTAGCTCTATACAAAATACAAAAATTAGCTGGGGATGGTGGCAGGCACCTGTAATCCCAGTCACTCAGGAGGCTGAGGTAGGAGAATTGCTTGAACCTGGGAGGTAGAGGTTACAGAGAGCCAAGATTGTGCCACTGCACTCCAGCCTGGGTGACAGAGCAAGACTCTGTCGAAAGAACGAAAGAACGAAAAGAAAGAAAAAAAAGAAACTGTTGATTAAAAAATAGCTAGGAAGCAACCTGATATGACAGAACTTCCCTCAATATCAGAAAAAGACAAAATGTATAGTTTTTCTTCCCTTCTTCCCCTTTTGGATGCTGATGCTAAACTTCCCTGTATACTGACATAAAATAAATTTTTATGCCTTTCTTATTACTTTTGGGACAAGGGGAAGAAAAATTTTACACTTTCCTAAGTGAATATATTTGGAAATTACAAAATAAGTGACATTCCTCAGCAATGAAATTCTTACCCTTCAATGTGGAAAAAAAAAGATATGGCAAACCCTAAGGTACTTAAAAAATGTAACACCTTTAAGTAGATAAAGAAGAGAAAGATCAAAAGGAAAGTAAAGAAGAAACTATAAGAAACACAGGGCAAGAAAGAAAACAATGTCCTTTCCACTAGAAAGATTAAATATGTTCCAAATTGATTAGAACCTAACCCCCTTCAACCTGATCTCATTGGTAACGTGCCAGAGATGGAGTTAAGGGCAAGATCAGAGAATAAGTACTAAGTAGTTTATATATAAAGCAAACTAAATGAATATAAGAATTTTAAATATCTTCCTACCTATGCCAAACAAGGTGAAAAATTGGCCACATTTTTACACACTGAGCTGGGATCTTTAAAAAAACAATTCATCACTTAAAGTAAATAGAACTACATACACATTCACACATACACACACATATTAGGAAACTCTAAAATGTTAAAAGTGTTTATCTCAGCTGGGTGCGGTGGCTCATGCCTGTAATCCCAGCACTTTGGGAGGCCGAAGCAGGTGGATCACCTGAGGTCAGGAGTTTGAGACCAGCCTGGCCAGCATGACGAAACCTCGTCTCTACTAAAAATACAAAAATTAGCCGGGCGTGGTGGCGGGGGCCTGTAATCCCAGCTACTTGGGAGGCTGAGGTAGGAGAATCACTTGAACCTGGGAGGCAGAGGTTGTGGTGAGCCAAGATTGCACCACTGCAGTCCAGCCTAGGTGACAGAGTGAGACTCCGCGTCAAAAAAGAAAAAAAAGAAAAAGTGTTAGTCTCTAAGTAAATAAATTGCTGGTGCTTTGAACTTTCGTCCTAATATTCTTTTGTTAGTTATATATATTTAAGGAATACCATATGATGTTTTGACACACATATAGTGAAATGATTACTACAGTCAAGCAAATTAACACATTCATGGTACTTTTTTCCTAAGATACTGTAGAAATAGTCACTTTTTTGGTAAAAGTACCTAAAATTTACTCTCTTTGCAAATTTACAATACACAATATTATTAACTACAGCTTTCATGTTGTACATTAGATCTCCAGGCTTTGTTCTACTTGACTGAAACTTTGTACCCTTTGACCTAGCTCCCTATTCCCCCTCCTCCTCCTCCTCATTCCCTCCCCAGTAACTTTCCACTTTCGGTTTCTAAGAATTGAAGGGTTTTTTTTCCAAGTCTTTCTACCCTAGATCAGTATTAGCTCTACTCAGTAAAATCCTGCAGTGACCTTTTTAAGAAAATGTTTTCAGTAATAATAGCATGATTACCAGCAGTTCACGTTTGCATTTGCCATACCACCCAAGGCGTGGATGAGACCTGGGCCAGAAACAACAAGGCAGACTCCTGGCCTAAAAGCAAACCAGAATTTATTTTATTAAAATCAAGTCAAATGTTAACAACTGATTCATAACACTTTAGTGTGAAACACGGCAATCTTGGACTTCAAAAGAAAGACCTACAGGTCTATAGTATAACTGGTAAAATAATTATTAGAATATTCTTAATAAAAAATTTATATATATGTGTGTGTGTGTGTATATATATATACACACACACACATATATATATATATATATATATATACACACATACTTTTTTTTTTTTTTTTTTTTGAGATAGCATCTCACTCTGTCGCCCAGGTTGGAGTGCAGTGGCACGATCAGGGCTCACTGCAGCCTCAACCTCCTAGGCTCAGGTAATCTTCCCACCACAGCCTCCCAAGTAACTGGGACTACAGGCAGATGCCACCACGCCTGGCTAATTTTTTGTATTTTTTTTTTGGTAGAGACAGGATTTCACCATGTTGCCCAGGCTGCTCTTGAACTCCTGGGCTCAAGCGATCCGCCTGCCTTGGCTTCCCAAAGTGCTGGGATTACAAGCATAAGCCAGCATGCCTGGCCCAAAAAAAGAAAGATTATATTTATCGGATTTCTTGCAAGAAATAAGGTACCTATCATTTTCACACCTTATATCACTAACCACTTATTTTGATCCTACATCTGGGCTAAATCAAGTTAATGGCCTACAAAAGCAAATTTTTGACTGCTGAGTTCACTTTTGTATGAAAAACAGGTTTTTTTCATTTCTTAACAAATAAATATAACGTCAACTGATCTTTTTTTTTTTTTTTTTTTTTTTTTTTTTTTGAGGCGGAGTCTCGCTCTGTCGCCCAGGCTGGAGTGCTGTGGCCGGATCTCAGCTCACTGCAAGCTCCGCCTCCCGGGTTCCCGCCATTCTCCTGCCTCAGCCTCCCGAGTAGCTGGGACTACAGGCGCCCGCCACCTCGCCCGGCTAGTTTTTTGTATTTTTTAGTAGAGACGGGGTTTCACCGTGTTAGCCAGGATGGTCTCGATCTCCCGACCTCGTGATCCGCCCGTCTCGGCCTCCCAAAGTGCTGGGATTACAGGCTTGAGCCACCGCGCCCGGCCTCAACTGATCTTTGATAGGAAAGTAATTCTGAATGCAGTGCTTTGCCCAAAATCTTTTTTTTTTTTTTTTTTTTTTTTTTTTTGAGACGAAGTCTAGTTCTTGTCCTCCAGGCTGGAGTGCAATGGCTCGATCTCAGCTCACTGCAACCTCCACCTCCTGGATTCAAGTGATTCTCCTGCCTCAGCCTCCCAAGTAGCTGGGATTACAGGCGCCTGCCACTATGCCTGGCTAATTTTTGTATTTTTAGTAGAGATGGGGGTTTCACCATGTTGGTCAGGCTGGTCTCAAACTCCTGACCTCAGGTGATCCGCCCGCCTCAGCCTCCCAAAGTGCTGGGATTACAGGAATGAGCCATCACGCCCAGCCCCCAAAATCTTTTAAAACTGAACTTGAGGCTGAGGGCAGTGGCTGATGTCTGTAATCCCAGCATGTTGAGAGGCTGAGGAAGATGGATCACTGAAGCCCAGGAGTTCAAGACCAGCCTGGGAAATATGGTGAAACCCTGTCTCTATAAAAAATATAAAAGCTAGCTGAGTGTGGTAGTGTGCACCTGTAGTCCCAGCTACTTGGGAGGCTGAGGCAGGAGAATTGCCTGAACCTGGGAGGTGGAGGTTGCAGCAAGCCGAGATGGTGCCACTGCACGCCAGCCTGGGGGCGAGAGTGAGACTCCAAATAAATATTCAACTTGAATGTTTTACCCTTCGGTGTGACTTTCTAAGCTTAAAGCACTCAGGGAAAAGGTATCTTAATATAATTCAGTTTGCCACTTTACATTTATAAAATAATTTCTTAAAAATTTCTGTTCAAGACAGACTTGAAAATAAGTAATTATCACCAAGTAAACTAAACTTCTAGAACAGTGCTATCCAACAGAACTTTGTATAGTAATAGAAATGTTCTGCATTTGCAGTATGATACGGTAGCCACTACTGACATGGTTGCTGAGCACCTGAAATGTGGCTACTACAAACTGATGAACTATGATTTAAATATTATTTAATTTTAATGAATTTAAATGTAAACAGGTACATATCGCTCGTGGCTACTATACTTGCCAGTGCAGTTCCAGAAGTTCATTCAAATAGCAAAAAATGTTTAAATACAAACTTCTACGCCAGGCACGGTGGCTCACACCTATAATCCCAGCACTTTGGGAGGCCGAGGCCGGCGGAACACAAGGTCAAGAGATAAAGACCATCCTGGCCAACATGGTGAGACCCCATCTCTACTAAATTACAAAAATTAGCTGGGCATGGTGGTGCACTCCTGTAGTCCTAGCTACTCAGGAGGCTGAGGCAGGAGGATTGCTAGAATCCAGGAGGCAGAGGTTGCAGTGAGCTGAGATCACGCACCACTGCACTGTCCAGCCGGGCGACAGAGTAAGACTCCATCTCAAAAGAAAAAACGAAAAAGAAAAAAAAAAAGTATGAACTTTTAACCATTGTCTTAATCATTGTTCTAGCATTTTTTACATTAAGGCATCAATTAATAACTATAATTTAAATGCTTTCCAAGCTAAACGAAAAGATTAAAAATATTTGTCATACGTAAATAAAGTGGCAGAAAATGCTGACAATAGTGTTACTTGATGGCCTATTTTCTTCAGGCTCAAATTCACAAGTTTCTTATCACAGAAAAAAAACTGTTCTGGTGAGGTCTAGACTTTGAGATCTTATTAGTTTACATTTCTTAGCAACTAAATTACTAGTTTCATTTTTGGAAATTAGAAAGTGTATTAAAAGTCATATAAATGAAAAAAGTATGATACATATTACCGTGAGAGTCCAAATTCTGTTTAAAAAATACAACTGTAGGGGAAAAAAATCGGAAGAAAATGACCAATTCTTAACAGTTGTGAGATCATAGGTGATTTTCATTCTCTTCATCTTGTTCTCCTTTTTTTTTTTTTGAGATGGAGTCTCGCTCTATCGCCCAGGCTGGAGCGCAGTGGCGCAATCTCAGCTCACTGCAACCTCCGCCTCCCAGGTTCAAGCCGATTCTCCTGCCTCAGCCTTCTGAGTAGCTGGGATTACAGGCGCATGCCACCACATGAGGCTGATTTTTGTATTTTTAGTAGAGATGGGGTTTCACCATGTTGGCCAGGCTGGTCTCAAACTCCTGACCTCAGGGGATCCACCCGCCTCAACCTCCCAAAGTGCTGATATTACAGGTGTGAGCCACCGTGCCCAGTCGATTTTCATTTTTTCTTGATGCTTTCTATATTTTCCAAGTTTTCCAAAATGAACATTTTTAAAATGTATTAATTTTTAGTAATAAAAAGGGAGTAGTAGTTAGGTAACATGGATACACACTAAAAAATCAGAATGCATGAAACAGGTCCCAACAGCCACATTTTGAACCAAGCATTTTTGTATTAAGTGTGCTGGGGTGTAGTTGTGAGATCCAACACAAGGTATCACACATCAACTCACTATCTGATCACCAGTGATTCACCTGCAAAATGGCAATGTGTTCCACTCTAAAACACTTCTGGTATCATTATTCTTTTGATGTGGCTCTCAGAGAGTTTTCAATTTTTTTATCTTGTTATTTAATATATTCTTCTATAATCTTTCCAAATGAACTCACCCTTCAGCTGAAAGACATAATAGCTCTACCCCAAAATATTAAATTGAAGTGAAACAGATTTTAGTTTACCTGCCTGTCAGATATCCAATCGCGGAGGCAGCATAACAAGCCTATGAAGAAAGAACACTGGGACTTGAGCATATTGGGATCCTTATAGTACATTTACGAGAGCAACTTACTATTACATTAAGAGACAAAAATGTAATGGTAAAGGCAGAATTAAAACACTTTCCATCTTAGTAATAAATGTTCTATGCAAAAATTTCAAATAATGGTTAAAGTTATCTAATTTTCAGTTTTTCAGGAAATTTGTTCATATGTGTGTTATTCGAAACATCCTCTTACGATTGCTTAAGTATCTGCAGGATCAACAGGAATGTCCTATTTTATTAATGATATTGGTAATTTGTTTTCATTCTTTTATTCTTCATCGGTCTCATGAGGCGTTTATCAAATTTATCCATCTTTTCAAAGAACATATTTGTGCCTTTGTTGGTATTTCTCTATTGTTTTCTATTTCATTGATTTCTGTTCTCGTATTTATTATTTCAGTCATTTTGAATTTGATTTGCTTTTCTTTTTCCAGCTTCTTAAAATACAAATTTAGAACACTGGTTTTTAATTTTCTTTACTAATAGATTTGTTTAAAATGATTCCCTCTAAGAACTGCTTTAGTTAAAGGTTACAAGTTTGAGATTGCATCTTTTCATTATCATTCCATTCAAAATATTTTCTACTTTCCATTGTGATTTCTTCTTCAACCTATTGGCTAATTAGGATCTGTAGTGATATCTCCTTTTTTATTCCTGACATTGGTAATCTGTTTTCTCTTTTATTCTCAATCAGTCTATCTTGAAGTTTATTCATCTTGTTAATCTTTTCAAATATTTACACAATACCAAAAACTATGTTGCTTAATTTCCAAATGTTTGAGATTCTTCTCAGTGATCTGTTACCGAGTTCCACTTTACTTCCACATGGTCAGGTCACACATACTGCAAGCTTTCAATCCTTGGCAATTTATTGAGATTTCCTTTATGGCCTGCATATGGATAGTTTTTACCTTGTAACTCTACTTTAGCTCATAATCAGGAAGAGAGGGGGCACTAAATTAAATGCACACAAGATAACCTGGGAAAATGCTGAGTGCTCTCTCAAATTCTTCTTCTTAGTTTGTGACATCATTTTTTTTCCCAGTATTATTTCTTCTCATTTCTTTAGAAATAACAATAGATTGTGTATTTCCTAGCCTTCACTCAGCTTTAAATGAAGTAGTATACTGTCTTAAAGAAATCCACATTAAGAACATAAATGTAAAAAAAAAAAACAGAAAGGAAATGTTTATGGATCACAATCTCAACTGTCTCTACTATCATATACCCACTGAGAACCTGCACAAAAGGCGTTGCTCTTTTCCTGTGTTGCTATTCTCTACTGGTCCTGTCTCTCTTCCCTTTTGCACATAAGGCCAAATTCACATTAGAAGAATAAGACAACTCCTAAGAAATGCAGGCATGTAAATACCTGCTGCAATAAGAACACTTTATTTAGACACCCAAAAGAATTGCCCACTTATGATAGCTAGGTAAGAAATGTTGCTAGGCAATGCAAAACATACAACATGTAACAAAAAGTATATTCCTCTGGTAGGAAATGTCAAAAGTTGAGAGGTAACAGTTTTGTTTTTCTTTTTTGAGATGCAGTTTCGCTCTTGTTGCCCAGGCTGGAGTGCAATGGCGCAATATTGGCTCACAGCAACCTCCACCTCCCAGGTTCAAGCAATTCTCCTGCCTCAGCTTCCCGAGTAGCTGGTATTACAAACATGCGTCACCACAGCCAGCTAATTTTGTATTTTTAGTAGAAACAGGGTTTCTCCATGTTGGTCAGGCTGGTCTCAAACTCCTGACCTCAGGTGATCCGCCCACCTTGGCCTCCCAAAGTGCTGAGATTACAGGCATGAGCCACCGCGCCTGGCCGTAACCGGTTTTATGACCATAAAAGATCTGTTCCTCTACTAAACTACCTCCATTCACAGGCAGAGCAGTGTACATGGTACTTAGAGAGCTGACTCTGGAGCCAATCTGTTTTTATTTAAATCCCAGCTTCCCTACTTTCTACTGTGTAATTTTGGCAAGTTGCTCTACATCTCTGTTTCCTCATCCATAAAATGAAAATAATTCAAAGCACTGCTGTGAGGATGAAATCAGTTCATATGTGTAAAACACTCAGAATAGTGCCCACACACAGTAAGCTCTCAAGAACAATGAACCTGCTGACAATCTGCCTACTTGCTGACCAATTGGTCAGTATGTCTTGATTACTCTATGGATCTAATCAAAGACAATCAAGTCACCCCCAACTACATCTTTCTCTTTAGCACAAACATGCTCCTGAATGCCTTAGCCTGTTTTCATGTTCCCTCTGAATCATTCTGTCACTACCCTTAGTTCAGATACCATTTAAGTTTTCCTCTGACTACCACAGAGTCAGGCTGCTTGAGGGACACATCTACTGGGATGTTCCACCAACATCTCAAATGCATGTGTTCAAAACTGAACATCACCTTTCTCCTCCAAACTGGCTCTTCCCTCTATATTCCCAGTCTCAGTCACAGACAGTAAGATCCACACAATCAAGCAAGCCCAAAATCTAGGAATCATGTCCAGAGGAGCCTGCCTCCTCCTTCCTAACTGGTTAATGACTACTTATCCTTCTGGACAGCACAGATATCATCTCCTGTGGGAAGCTGAGCCTGGGTACTCCTTCCCTGGGCTTTATAGCACCCTAGGTATTTCTCTATCACAGCACTTACCACCTTATAACACAATTGTTTGTGTCTGTCTCCATAGCTTGGCTGTAAGCCCCTTAAAGCCAGGAACTATCATTCATCTCTGTATCCAACACCCAACACAGCACATGGGACCTAAAGAACCCTCAATTAAGCTTATAGGGGCTGAAATAAAACTTAGAGACAGAGGTCATGCTATGTTGCCCAGGCAGCCTCTAATTCCTGGACTTGAGTAATCCTCCTGCCTCAGCCTCCTAAGTAGCTGGGATTACTGGCATGTACAACCATGCCTGGCATCATCTTTCTGAAATACAAGCCTAATTACATCTCCCACCTGTTTAGAAAAACCTTTAGTCTCCCCCATTGCCTATTGTTAAAAAAAAAAAAGTTCAAATTCTTTTTAGATTCTCCACAACATAACCTCAACCTACCTACCCGTCTCACAGCTCACCATGCCTTTACCTACCTCGATGGAACCACATGAACTAACATTACCTCTACAGGCAATCTTCTCTGTCCTCAAAGAGAACCAGTCATCCCTTCTGTGCTACTACATCTATTGTGAGAGTTATAATAGATGAGTTTTTTCCTGTAAGTCTTACCCTAACCTTCCAAGACTGATCAACTTGAAGATCAAGACTAAACCTCACTCCTCCTTTACATCCCTCTCCCCTACAGGTTATGTAGCACAATCCTTAGTATACAATATTTAGTCAATAAATGTTTGCTGTATAAAGAAATCAGTAGCAGATATGTCATCTCTACAAAAAGAGTTAAATATAGGTTCCATTCATAGGTCAATAGCTTCATTTTTTCACACAGATGAAAGAACAGAATGTTGTTCTAACAAAGACAAGTAAAATGTAGAAGCAACAGAAACTCAAGACTTGCTAGTTTTAAGATAAAAAATACAAATCTCAAACCTTATAAAGAATGTCATTCAATTAATAAATAATGCATAATATTAAGCATCCATACCATGTGAAAGCACCAACCAAGCCAGGCACTGTGGTGATATAACAAATGAACCACAACTTCTGCCCTCCATGCACTCACGTATGATGGCAAAAGGCACCATTTAGGGCGGCCAGGCAGTTGTTTGGGCAAGAGGAGGCAAGAATCTAAATTAGAAAGCAACAGTGGGAGTGTAGAGCAGGAATACTTAGCCTCAGCTGGACTGACAGTATGTGATATCACAGAATTGGATTCTTGATCTTTTAAGCCAGCACTACTGAGAGAAGGGCAAGGTTGGATTGATGCACTTAAAAGTGGATTGACAAAATGCCGTACCTTCCTTATCCTGCTTCCAAGTAAGCCTCTAAGAAAGGTGGCAGCATGATGTGGTGGAAAGAGCGTCAGGCTAGGATCTGAGACATCTGAGTTTCCATTAAGGCTTTACCATTTGTGATATCCTCCACCCTGCCCCGAACCGATCATACAACAAAGACTTGGCCTTCACTCATTTATCCCACAGGTAACCTCTGAACACCTTGCTTATGCAGGCATCACACTAAGCACTGGGGGTACCAGACGTGTCGTGAAGAAATAATATCCCCGCTCTAATGGAGCTTGTAGCCTAATAAGGAAATCAGACTTTACTCATAAACTGTCTCTTCCAATCATGACATACAGTATGGTAGTAAGAGCATGGACTCAGACCCAGAATACGTAGGTTCAAATCCTGGCTCTGCTACTACCAGCTGTGTCACCAAAGGCAAGTTTTACTTAACCTGTGTCTTTTCTCAACTGTCAACTAGGTATAACAACAGTTAATATTCAATAGTGATTGATATATGTGTAAAGCAGCAGAAGAGTGGTAAGCGCTATCTGAGTGTTTGCAAGCATACCTACCGCTATTATTGATCATTCCCAGTAACGGATTCAGACACCTGCGTCCATACTCACCGCTTGCTCATTCCTCATCCCGATGTACTTGATGCCTAGCTGCTGGGCAGCAATGGCAATTTCGGTCACTGGGATGCCTACGATTCCAAATACGTACTCCACATCCTGAGGGACGAAGAACAAGAGAGTAATCTCCCACGGCCCCACCACATCGCCACATCCTTCCCTCCCTCCTGGACGCTAAAAAGAAAACCCCCGACTCCCATCGCCCATTTCTACTCGTCTCCGAGACAACATTGCGGTCTCCGCCAGCTTCCGTAGGAGCGTTTCATTCCAGGAAGGTCCATCGTACTTGCGTTTTCAGGGCCTGGGCGATGACTTTAGCACCAGACACCTGTTCCTCGCTGCGCTCTGCGAAGTTACTGTCCGGCATCTTCCACCGAAAACCTCTAGGCACTCATGCAGCCGACAAACAAGCGGAGTCACCCAGCGAGGCAAACGCGAAAACGGCGGCACGCCCCCTGTGGGACTGCACCTCTGACGGACAGGAGGGCAACCAATTCTCTTAAAGAACGGGAAGGAAGAGGCGGTCTAAATTCTTCCACTCCCCGGGAGAGGTGAGAATGTAAACACGCGCGTTCTCCAATCAGAACTGCGCTCTCTTCCCAGCTCCTCCATTTGCGCGCCAGAGTGCCAGAGGGAGGCGGGACTAGCAGGAGACTGCTGCCTATGCAAAGCAGTAAGAAGCCGCGCTGTGAGGCCTCTCGCCATTGTCTTGGAGTCGGCCAGCCGGAGCGTTTTCGGCGCTGTAAAGGGAGAGTAGCGCATGCGCATATTCGGGGCGGAAGGCGCGCTAAGAGCAGGTGCGGAGGGGGCGCGGCGCGGCGTGGAATGGACGTGGTGCCGGCGTGCGGCCCAGACCCCGCCCCCGGCCGACCAGGGGGCTGCGGGAGGGCTGCGCAAAGGCTGCCGGGAGCCGGAAAGCGCGGCGCGCTTGTGTGGTTGGGGTTCTTAGCTTTGTTCCTTGCTGCTGTGCTACTGCGTTGCGTTTTCTGCACATTTACTTACACGCTTTGTGGTTTACGCTCTCATAATCTTGTGGTTTTATAGTCCTTAAATGATTGTAACACACGTTACTAAAATCCAGAAGCAGGTGTGTACCCCAGCGAGAGTTAAAATGACGGTGAGAGTCGGTAGATCCAGACCGTGCTTGAGACCCTGAATCCTGTTTCCTACCCACTATTCAGCCGTTGGGTCCCAAGCGATGAAGTAGGGCACCTTGAAGGTAGTAGAGAGCACTGTTTTCTCCAGCCGTTGCTACTAATCCATATTACTTTCCGCTCGTCTCTTTCCAAAGTTAGGAACTATGGCGTTTCATAATTCTAGGTTGGGTCCCTACCTACAACCAGCCCTGCACCCGGTAGCCTTTTAAAACATTTTTGTGTGAAAATCGTTTGCAATGTGCAATATCTGAAACTACTGCCTTAGTGTCATTAGACCCTCTGCTCAATGACAATAAACATAAAATTCCCAATTATAATAAACAGTGGAACTTTAATTTTTTGAGGATTTGGAGTCATTTTAAGCAAAAAGACCAGTGATAAGTGGACAGTAAAGAGATGAGAGGGGGGTGGGTCATGGGTAGTGAAATGAATGAGAAGCACTGGAAGTGAAAGGATTTCTAAACCCGGACATTTTCAAACTCTAGTCCCGGGTATTTTCAAAAGCTCTTCCCCTCTTTTTCTCAACCCCTCAACCCCACCCCAAGCAGAGGAGAGTGAAGTGGTTGCCTCCCTGCATATGGGGACTGTGTTAGTTCATTTTCATACTGCTATAAAGAAATACCCCAAACTGGGTAATTTATAAAGAAAAAGAGATTTAATGGTCTCACAGTTCCAAATGGCTGCGGAGGCCTCAAAATCATGGCAGAAGGTGAAGGAGGAGCAAAGGCATGTCTTACATGGTGGCAGGCAAGACAGCGTGTGCAGGGGAACTGCCCTTTATAAAACCATCAGATCTCATGAGACTTACTATCGTAAGAACAGCATGGGAAAAACCCCCTCCCCATGATTCAGTTACTTCCCACTGGGTCCCTCTCACCACATGTGGGGATAATGGGAGCTATAATTCAAGATGAGATTTGGGTGAGGACACAGCCAAACCATTCTGCCCCAGTCCCTCCCAAATATCATATCCTCACATTTCAAAACCAATCATGCCTTCCCAACAGTCCCCCAAAGTCTTAACTCATTTCAGCATTAACTCAAAAGTCCACAGTCCAGAGTCTCATCTGAGACAAGGCAAGTCCCTTCCGCCTATGAGCCTATAAAATCAAAAGCAAGCTAGTTACTTCCTAGATACAATGGGGTACAGGTGTGGGGTAAATATACCTGTTCCAAATGGGAGAAATTGGCCAAAACAAAGGGGCTAAAGGCCCCATGCAAGTCCAAAATCTAGCAGGGCAGTCAAATATTAAAGCTCTATGATGATCTCCTTTGACCTCGTGTCTCACATCCAGATCATGCTGATGCAAGAGCTGGGCTCCCACGGCCTTGGGCAGCTCTGCCCCTGTGGCTTTACAGGCTACAACTCCCGCTCGCAGCTGCTTTCACAAGCTGATATTGAGTGCCTGCACCTCTAGGCACATGATGCAGGCAGTCAGTGGATCTACCATTCTGGGGTCTGGAGTATGGTGGCCCCCTTCTCACAGTTCCACTAGGCAGTGCAGCAGTAGGGACTCTGTATGGGGGCTCCCACCCCACATTTCCCTCCCACACTGCCCTAGCAGAGATTCTCTATGAGGTCTCTACCCCTGCAGCAAGCTTCTACCTGGACATCCAAGCATTTCCATACATCCTCTGAAATCTAGGCAGAGGTTCCCAAACCTCAGTTTTTGACTTCTGTGCACCTGCAGGCTCAACACCATGTGGAAGCTGCCAAGGCTTCAGGTTTGCACCCTCTGAAGCCAGGCCTGAGCTGTACATTGACCCCTTTTAGCCATGGCTGGCATGGCTGGGATGCAGGACACCAAGTTCCTAGGCTACACACAGCAGGGGGACCCTGGACCTGACCCATGAAACCATTTTTCCTTCTAGGTTTCTGGGCCTGTGATGGGAGGGCCTGCTGTGAAGGTCTCTGACATGCCTTGGAGACATTTTCCCCATTGTCTTGGTGATTAATAGTTGGCTCCTTATTACTTATGCAAATTTCTGCTGCCAGCTTGAATTTCTCCCTAGAAAATGGGTTTTTATTTTCTACTGCATCATTAGTCTGCAAATTTTTCAAATTTGTATGCTCTGCTTCCTCTGGAACACTTTGCCATTTAGAAATTTCTTCTGCCAGACACCCTAAATCATCTCTCTCAAGTTCAAAGTTCCACAGATCTCTAGGGCAGGGGCAAAATGCCACTAGTCTCTTTGCATAGCAAGAGTAACCTTTACTCCAATTCTGAATAAGTTCCTCATCTCCATCAGAAACCACCTCAGCCTGAATTTTATTGTCCATATCACTATCAGCATTTTGGTCAAAGCCATTCAATAAGTCTCTAGGAGGTTCCAAACTTTCCCACATTTTCCTGTCTTCTGAGCTCTCCAAGTCTCTAGGAAGTTCCAGACTTTCCCACATTTTCCTGTCTTCTGAGCCCTCCAATCTGTTCCAACCTCTGCCAGTTACCCAGTTCCAAAGTTGTTTCCACAGTTTCGGCTGTCTTCACAGCAGTGCCCCACTCTCTGCATTACCAATTTTCTGTGTTAGTCCATTTTCATACTGCTATGAAGAAATATCCCAAACTGGGTAATTTATAAAGAAAAAGAGGTTTAATAGATTCACAGTTCCACATGGCTGGAGAGACGTCACAATCATGGTGGAAAATGAAGGAGGAGCAAAGGCACGTCTTACATGGCAACAGGCAAGGGTGTGTGCAGGGAAATTCCCATTTATAAAACCATCACAACTTGATCACAAGAACAGCATGGGAAAAACCGTCCCCCATGATTCAGTTACCTCCCACCAGGTACCACTCATATGTGGGGATTATGGGAGCTATAATTCAAGATGAGATTTGAGTGGGGACACAACCAAACTATATCAGGGACCCATCTAAGAGGGTGACTTCTTTCAAGTCTCAAAGTATATCTAAAAAGAAAATGCAGATTTTGCATTCTATCTAGAATGTATCCATATTTTAACTTTAAAATGACATTTTTTAAGTTATAATAAGGATAAAATTCAATGCCCAGATCTTAAATGTTAGTCAGATGAGTTTTGACAGTTTTATATATATATCTATACATACCTATAAAATCACTACCCAAAATAAAAATGACGTTTTAAACTGCTTACCTGTCAAGCAAAATTGACATTCCAGAAAGATGTGAAATGGGCTGGGCACAATAGCTCATGCCTGTAATCCCAGCACTTTGAGAGGCCAAGCTGGGCAGATCATTTGAGATCAGGAGTTCGAGACCAGCCTGGCCAACATGGTGAAACCCCATCTCTACTAAAATACAAAAATTATCCGGGTGTGGTGGCACATGCCTGTAATCCCAGCTCTTCAGGAGGCTGAGGTGGGAGGATCACTTGAGCCAGGGAGGTAGAGGTTGCAGTAAACCAAGATTGCACCACTGCACTCCAGCCTGAGTGACAGAGCGAGATCCTATCTCAAAAAGAAAAAAGAAGAAAGATGTGAAATCATCTTTGCACTTTGAATAGTCCTTGACACAATGCCTCCTGTCCTTGTTGGAGAAGTACGAACCCCACCCCCTTCCATCATGTATTATTTATATCAGTACCTTCTGTGACAGTCTCTGCCCCTGTTGCATCAGAGTCACTTGGAAAGCTTTTTCCAAATAGTTACTTGGGCCCTACCCCAGATCTCCTGAATCAGCATCTTAGGACAAGTTAGGCACCTGTATTTTTAAAAAGCTGCTACCTGATTTTGCTTTGCAGCCCAGAGTTGAGAACCCTAGCTCTATATTCATGCCAGAAGCATGACTTACTAATTAAACATATAATTGCCTGTCACCAAAGTAATATTGTTGATTAATTTGGATTGACAGATTCAAGGCTGATTTGACATTGGCAGAACAAGCTGTATCGATGGCAGATAGTCAGTTCACCAGCCCTACTTCTGTGTCAGAAGAAACACTGACAGAACCACTCAGTATGAAGTGCAATGAAAACAACTCTGAATTGGAACAAATACCTGGAATTCAGTTAACTGGTTTTGCAAAAGGATAAATACTCAACTGGCTGGATTCTGCCATTTAACAAAGAAAAATCATTGGGATTGTTTAAACTTGCTTTCACCTTTACACCTTTCAGTTCAGAATGCAGTGTTCAATTGTTAACTTGGGCTTGATGATTCAGCAGAAGGAAGTGATTTGAGTTCTGGCTCCCTGAATTAACGGGGCCAAGGAGCAACTCCTTTGCAATCCAGTTGTAATTACAGCCAGCTTGTCCAACCCTTGGCCCAGGACGGCTTTGAATGCGGCCCAACACAAATTCATAAACTGTCTTAAAACATTATGAGATGTATGCAACGACCCTATTTTTTTTTTTTTT